TATGGGTTGATGCTGCTACTCAGATCTTCTTCTCCTACGGTGTGGGTATCGGCTCTCTCATCTCCCTCGGTAGCTACAACCCTTACAGGAATAACTCATTGATGTAAGCGATAAGATGACTCGCAGAGGCTGTTGTTGTCTTATGTTGTACCTAGCTGAATTATTATTGTTCGGTTTCGTCGTCGTGTGTTGATTGTGAATGACTTGATGTTCACGCTCTTCTTTTGACCGACAGTGACACCATCGTGGTGGGCATCGTCAACGCGGGTACCAGTCTGTTCGCAGGCTTCGTCATCTTTGCTATCCTGGGCTACATGGCGTTCGTTCAAGAGGTGGATGTGTCGCAAGTGGTCGACGAAGGTATTAATTCTTTCACATAAAGCTTTGGGCAAAAATGACGTCATTAATTTTAGGAGACAGAAATACAACATAGGTGCGCGTATACTTCGCGCGCCGTCTCAGCGCGTCTAGCCCATCCGACAACTATAGCTACAAACTCAGGAACGTGGCCATATAAAAAGGTTTAAAACACTAGTTGCTCTTTTTGTCTGATTTCATGAAGACTTTTTTTTTTAACATCATTCGGTATATGTAAGAAGATCAACGTGAAGTTCATATGTAAATTTGATTTTTAAGGAATCAATGTACACTGAAAGTCCGAATAAATGTCACATGAGAACGAGGCCTGATGAGCTCGTGGGACAGGCAGGGTAGACAGGTTGGGAAAGGAAGAAAATGGAGGACGAGAAGTCATAATATGGACAAGGCTACTGGGCCTTATTCACGAGTCGGCCATATTGAATTGAAAGTGAGGTAAAATCTTAATATTTCGAACTTGCGAAGAGAAATGAAAGCAAGTCAATTCCTAATTAACTTCAGTCTGCTTCAATGAATAATTTCAAATTTGTAATTAAAAATTCCCTAATGTTTAAAGCCAGATTATAAGAAAAGACACTAAAATAAGACTGCAATGTGCCTGCATAAATAGTCTTGCACCATCCCACTGAACAGTTACACTTAATGACATACGTTCAGGGAACTCGACAAAAATGGCCAACTCGTGAATAAGGCCCATTGCATTGGTGATTTTCTTCTTTACAGGGCCAGGGTTAGCATTTGTTGCCTACCCGACGGCTGTTGATACCATGCCTGCTGCTCCTTTCTGGTCAATCTTGTTCTTCGCCATGTTGGTCATGCTGGGTCTGGACAGTCAGGTACACTTCCAAAATTGTTTTTGACCGTGGATATATCAACTTGGACAGGCGCGGTACCAATCGGCAAATTACTTGGTTTATTTGGGGGAATTTCAGGACTTACGTAAGAACGATATGGGTTATGTTTGAACTTTTTTCCAGATTCCTCAACAAGTTTTTTTAGTTAAAATTTTAGCTAAGTTTAATTGCAATGTCATTGGCTAACATCATTTTCTCAACGACTCGCAGAATGACGAGTCATTGATACTTGCTCGTCTTTCTTTGTTCCTCGTAGTTCTGCGTCGTTGAGGGCTTCATCACTTCCCTCATGGACGGCTTTCCCGAGTTCCGTCTAAGACAGCATCGGACGAAGTTCCTAATCACTATCTGCGCCATCGACTTCTTCCTGGGATTCTTGTGCATCACAGATGTAAGTGAAGAATAAACAAAACCTCCGACCACCCTTTTTCCTCCATATTTCATTAGTGGGTATGACCACTCTGGTACCGTACCATTTTGGGTGGCAAGTTCAGCCCGGAAAGCCAATTAATACACTCGTTCAAAAGGGTATACCTCGCACCACAGAGTATGTTTCCTTGTTCTATGCTCACCCTTGTTTGGCTATCCTACGACGACCATGGCAGCCAGTGCTTGTAGAGTTGGCTCTCAGAGACGCTCCTTTCGGATTTATAGTCAAACACGTCATTTTGCATTGATTTTCTGCCGACTTCTGCCGAATACGAGGGTAAATATGGCGCTTCTTGTGTTGGTCACATTGGAAGGTGACGTAGGTTGTGCACTGTTTCATGAAATCGGCTGCAGGGCCCAATTTTTATCTGGTGTATCATTTTTCTCTGTTATCCCCATCATTAAGATAAATATTATGTAGCACGTTCCTTCGCTGCTCCGCCAGACTATCAAGGGCTTGGCCCGCCCGTCAGCTGTGACTCTCTAATAAGCTTTGCGCGTTATTGATTGACTTTTTTTTGCTAGTTGGTTACTAGCCCATCTTCCATCTAGAAGCGTACAACGGTTGATGCCAATTTGCGTAGACGGTCGAGATATTGTTCAATGTTCTCTTGTACGTTTATGAGCGGTCGAGTTGAACACATGGCGCAATTTTGGTATCAACTTTCCCGTATCACGTATGCGATCAACACAGTGGTGACGTTTCACGCGATATCGATGAACCTGCCGAAACCTATAACCGTAAAGCATGGCCTGTCCATCGCAACATTGTGTAATAAAGATTAAATAAAATCTTATAAATTGTCCTATACTTAATTATTATCTTGCACTTTGACAAACCCGAGGTTTCGAACGACCTTTTATGTGTTTTCCTCATCCAGGGAGGGATATACATGTTCCAGTTGCTGAACGACTACGCAATCAGCGGTATGCCGCTGTTGTGGGTAGCCAGCTTCGAGTGCATCACGATATCCTACGGCTACGGGATCCGACGATATTACCGAGATGTCTCCACCATGCTGACCTTCACTCCCGGCTGGTTCTGGCCCATCAGTTGGGCTGTTGTTAGCCCACTCGTGACTGTTGTAAGTTACCGTACAGTTGTTATTATTTTTTGGAAATCGCTTGTTTTCCCACATTTCTCAGAGGATGAAAACTTGAAAGCACGAAAACTAGAAGGCGTAACTCCAGCCGTATTAGGCTATACTTGGAAGATTGGGCCGAGTGCTAGGGTAAAGGCGTATACGGTGGTTAGATGGGAAAGACTATAGATTCAGTTCCGGGAAGATATGTTCCCAAAACAATTGGCTATTATTGTCTTTTGCGATTAAAATGACATCCCCCATTATCGTTCCAGGCCAGTCATGAAAACATATATGGATTTTTGTCGTCTTGATTTTCTTCTCAGGGCATCTTTATCTTCAGTCTGGTTGACTACTCCGGACCAAAGTTCGGAGAAGATTACTATTTCCCCATCAGTGGGGAGATTCTTGGTTGGATGATGGCGCTTGCTTCTATGCAGTGGATTATCACCTATGCTTTATTTCTCTTCATAACCACGCCCGGCACAGTCAGAGAGGTAGTATAATTATAATCTAACAATAGATTCGCCATTTATTTGTTACGACCTTTGATTGAATCGTGGTTGATGTTTCATGCAGTTGTGATTTCGCATTGATTGACTTGTGATATACTTCTTATTTACTCGTGATGACTTTGTGACTTATGTGACACGCGATGAGTTGTGAATTATACTTGTGATAGATTGTGATGAGAAGTGATTTCCTTGTGACGAGTTGTGAATTCTTTGTGATGAGCTGTGATCAACTAGTGATGAGTTGGGATTTATTAGTGATAGGTTGTGATTTACTTGTGATGATTTGTGATTCCTAGTGATCAGTTGTGATTTACTAGTGATGAGTTGCGATTCCCTTGAGATCAGTTGTTATTCACTTATGATTAGTTGTGAATGACTTATGACTGACTATGATGCCATGTAATTGACTTATAGTTTAGTGGGAAGAAGGGGTTATCGTGCACCCTAGGAAATCAATTTCTAATTGACGTCTCGAGATCAGAAAAAAAATGCGTAGAAAACGATTTGCTATGTTAAACAATTCAGAAAATGTCCCATGTATTTTTTATGCAAATTAGTGCCGCCATTACCGAAAAATCTATTGTTCATATATCTCAGCCAATATTGCAGATAACTGAACAAATAAGGTGTCTAAACCCATGTTTTGAGGGTCAAAGATCACAAAACTATTTTGGAAGTGACTACATGTGCTGTGGCATAGGAATATGCAAATTAGTGCCGCCATCGCCGGAAAACCATTTTTTGGCATATCTCGGCCAATATAGGCACATCACATCACAAGTAAGGTGTCTAAACCCATGTTTTGAGGGTCAAATATCATTTTAAGGCCATTCCTGAAGTAACTTTGTGTGTCATGTCTGTCCTTGGCATGTAAAGACATAAATTATAAAGTGCCGCTTTATGGGAAATTCGATTTTTAGCCAATATCTCATCCAATATTACGGCTAATATTGACAGAGGTTTTTTTTGATACTTTCGCAAGGTAATCTTTCATTTCCCATTCTTTTCCCCATTCCTGATAAGCAGTAGTGATAAAAGTTGATTTTAAGCCATCATATGCAAAAGAAACTGTCATAGGAGCGCAGATGTGCATATAATGTGCATAGATGGCTCAAAATCAACTTTTATCACTATACTGCTTATCTGGAATGGGAAAAAGAATGCGAAATTGAGGATAAAATTGCAAAAGTATCGCTCTCAATAACCCCTCTTTGAACTTAGGCTGCAATATTGGCTGAGATATTGGCTAAAAAAACAAATTTCTGATAAACCGGCACTTTAGAATTTACATATATACCGTATGCCAAGGACAACCTTGACACACATACTACTTCTGGAATGGTCTACATTTGTAAGAATGATACTTGACACTCAAAACATGGGTTGAGACACCTTACTATAAGTTACAAGCAATATTGGCCGAGATATGCCAAAAACATGATTTTCCGGTAATGGTGGCACTAATTTGCACATTCCTATGCCACAGACACATGTGGTCAGTTCCAGAATAGTTTTATTGTGATCTCTGACCCTGAAAACATGGGTTAAGACACCATATTCGTTCGGTTATCTGCAATATTGGCTGAGATACAGTGAAAAAACACATTTTGTTCGGTAATGGCGGCACTAATTTGCATATAAACAATACGTGGGATATTTTTTTGAATTTTTTTAACATAGCAAATCGTTTTCTACGCATTTTGTCTGACCTAGAGATGTCGATTAGAAGTTGATTTCCGAGGGTGCACGACATCCCCTTCTTCCCACTAAACTATTACATCTTAGCACTGATTCATCTTTCATTCCGATCTGCAGCGGCTGCACTATATGGCAACAGCTCGCGTCTTCCCCAAGGAGAAAGAGAACCCGCTTCCCGTGGAAGATAGCAGCGTGGGTAAGGGTAGCTCGCGCTCCTTGGAAGACCAAGATAGAGACAGCATATCGCCAAAGTACGAGAAGACGATAGTTCAGCAGAACGCCTTCGATAACGAGGGATATACCAAAGACAACGGAGACATCCGAGTGGAGGTTAGCAGTGGGGATAGTGACGACGTCATTGGCATGGCAGATAGTGACGACGAGTAGGAAATGAATCTTTACATTATTTGGGATCGTGACTGGCTTTAAATTGTTGTTCACTATTGTTTGACCCGGACAGGTAAGTTACTTACCTTCTTATGTTATGCCCGTATACACTTCTTAGGTAAATTCTTTTCCCGTTATTTTTGTAAATAAAATACTCACGTCGCAGGCTGCTGAAATAATTATTATCAGTTCAAACTCACGGGTTGCTTCGTTTTCCAGATTTGGTCTATAGGAAAAGAAGCGTGTTAATTCCGTGGCAATTTCTCAAGAGGACTCGGGGACAGGTTACTCTTGCAGAGTAACGTGCACTGACAACGAACAAACTGAGCAAAGACTTCCCAACACAGATGAGATAAATATCTAATATCAGAGATAATTATTTGGAAAAAAAATGCAATTCGTTCATTTATATGCAAGTCATCCCTGCGTTGGCAAATTGGGTTAGGATCAGCTGCAGTTGGGAGGGTTTTTTTTCGGATTTTAAACGCAAAACCTGCGCCATATGCAGCTGGGTATGTACATCGGTTGTGAATGAGTGGAGTGTCATGGCCGAGCGGTTAAGAGCACCGGACTCAAGCTCTGTGGTGTTTCTGATCACCAGAGTGTGGGTTCGAGTCCCGGTCATGACACTTGTGTCCTTAAGCAAGACACTTAACCATGATTGTTTCGTCCTTCGGGTGGGACGTTAAGCCGTAGGTCCCGTGTGTTGTGTAATGAACGTTTAAGAACTTAAACACTTATCGCTAAGAGAATGGGTTTGCCACGGTGTTTCTGGCAGTGGCTGCTTAAATCACCACATCACCTCGTAAACCGTTATAAGGTGCTACATAAAATGGGTCTCATTATTTCAAACACTTCATTTACCTGTCTTTAAAATAATTTAATTTGCGCCTTGAGTACCTAATTGTTGGTAGATTCGTGCTCTTTATAAGACTCCGGTATATTTCCTTTCCATCCTTTTCGTCCTTTTTTTTTATTCTATGGGTGCTCTGTTCAAATTACCTTTCTCCAGCGTAGTTGGTTTCTTTTCAGTTATGCTTGTCGCAGTTTTCTTCTCAATGGATTTTGACAACCAGCTTTTCTTTCAAACACAAGACTTGTCAATTATTGTGAATTACTGTGTGTTTGCGTTACTTCTAACAAAATGATTAGATGAATACCAGATCTAGATTTGTTTTTAGTGGACATTAGAATTGTTTTTTATTTTATTTTAATGTATATTTAAATATTCAGGTAAGTTGAAGTAACCCTCCCCGGTGTTAAGGGGTGTGGTCCAAGTTATAAAAAAACACAAATGAAATTGAATGAAAATATATTATATAAAATCCATTTGAAGAATTTGCATTCCTGGTGTTAAGAAATGCTTTTATATAAATGCATAATGTGATATTTATGCCCAATTATTAGAACCATTTTCAATAATGATTGCTTTGATAAAAAAAAATTAGAGTGTCAATTTTGGTGGAAAGGTTGTGTTTTCTTCTCAAACTCGTAGATCATCTATTTCTTTTTCTTTTCATTGTCATGTTTACATACAATATAGCCTGATAAGCAGCTTTGAACAACTAAGATCTGAAATAGCTTAGAAAAACAATTTTGCAAAGAAATGAGATCAAACGACCAAATACTTGAAAGTTACGGTGTAAATGGCGCAGAATGTTCATGTTATTTTTGCTTCCAAGAGACTTGTCTTCCAATTTGTAATTCCCCCACATTCGACCGACATGCATATAAGCTTATCAAAGACTATACACGATCGATGATCAACTTGAGTTGTTACTCATTCTGTATACTGTTACATACATGTACTCTCTTCTTCTTTTTTCCCCGACTTTTGTATCGAAACTGATATAGCTTATATTAAGTTAATGCATGGGACGTACCTTTCAGTTACGATCTATACATATTAATCTATCGTATATTCCTTATGCTACACACGGAGATTTTCGAATAATATGTTTCGAGTGTTTGAAATGTCTGTAAAGATTATTGTTTATTAAGGCCTTATCAACAAAATTAAATAATTACAAACAAATAGGCCCATACCCATCATAAGGTTCACATCCTATTTTTGGAATCGAGTTAACGTCGATGTCAGCGGTACACTGGCTCTGATTGAAAGAACATTAAACTAATATTATTTCCGTAAGAAATGTGTCGATAAAAGTTTCAGCGTATATTAACCTTGTCAGTATTTAGGGTCAATAATTAAGGGAATTAGGGCATTTCCTTTAAGTTAAATTTCCTCAACAATAATTAACGTTTAAATGACACAGGTGTAAAATACTTTATGATTGACAATATAATAATGATTTATTTTGTTTGACAGTTGCTGTAAAAAAGTAACGATGTTCGCACAATATTAAAGGGTGGGAAATAAATGGGGAACTATCATCAAGATTATATCTCCCATATCGATTGATTTTTGTGTTGTTTACTTCTGACTTTTGTGTTGTTTACTTATTTATTCAAGTGTTTAGCTAATCATTAGAGACACCATTTTATCACACATTTATTCGCGCAATCACCTGTCGTTGTAGCTAGCTGTGAAGGACCATCAAAAGGTGCCACAATAACGCAACCTCAGATTTAAACGGCGAGCCATTATGTGCAAGGGCGTCAATCGCTTCTCAAGAGTCAAAGTGGGCGCCCGGGGAAATACCTTAACCAGAACTAATGCGAGCGTGAAGCGTGAAGCGTGAAGCCCTAACGATGACGTCCGGGGCCTGCTTAAGGGACACCGGAAATTGTTTCGGATTCTAGATGCTCCGAGGTGCGATCTGAGGCAATTTTTAACCACTTTAACCATTTTTTTTAAAGCAAAAAATCATCTTTTAAACAACATGCATTTTCGAGTTTTTGGAGTCATTAAAACAGCTATTCTGAGCATTTATTCGGGGACAAAAAAAGGGGGGGTTGACAAACGTAATGATTTCTCCCCCTTTATAAAGGGGAGGGGGGTGTCGCCCTCCCACCCCCGTCCCCGAACAATTGACGCCCATGCCTATGTGTCACTGTCGGCAAATATAATGCCGTTATTACGATTAGCGTCACAGTACAGGCCCATCCGCATTGAATAGCGCCCCCATGCACGTGTTGGCGCACGCGCCACCACGCTTTTCGATTCTTTGGCGAGTTCCAGGGAAAATTGTTATAGTATAGTATTGACTGTTATATTTTGGTCACACCATTAATTCCCATTCAAATTTGTCTTGCAACACTCGTGAGGCAATATCTCAAAGTGTTATCATTTTTAATGTCTCCATGGTTTCACCGATTAGATATCCACTTCATAATTACCAAGTTTTCGCTCACTGTGATCATACCAGCATAAAGATCCGAATGATCGAATCACAGGTGACAGAGGAACTGCACTGTTGCCATCAACAAATAACCATCCAGGAAATGTAACATCACGGAGGAATGGTAACATGCAACAGCTTTTATTGTCTAGTTCCCAAACTGTACCAAGCCACGTATCATAAATTCAGCAAGCATCATGCCTCGAATCTGGGCCAAATCCCGCATCCCCCAGATCAGAGTATACCGACTTATTACCCTGCATCAACCCCTGTACCCTCTGGCATGCCTGGCGACCGAGATGTGGAATGTCTGACCCCACGCGAGCTGGGTTTCTGTTCAAGGCCTCACCCAGACGACCCTGGGGTTAATACCCCGGATCGTACCGACAAGTCGACAACACGAGGATATCTCGTCAGCGCTTTGATTCTGGCGTGCGTGCCGTACATTTCCACGTGTTATATGCTCGTTTGTACGTTGTTGTCTATCATTCAGTGGAGATACTTGTTGTACCACCCGTACCTTTCTCTCTGTCTTTTCGAAACGAAATGTCAAATCATTGAGTCTTCTTGTACTTACAGAGCGACCATACAGAGAAGAAAAAAACAGTACTTCAGTAGGCCTACAGCTTGTACCATCGTGGATAATTGCTGAACTGCGTTATCAAGAAAATGATTGAAGACATTCCGTGGATCCCATTTTTGACATCGTAAGCGGACCGCCATTCGTCACTGTTCCTTGCTCTATGGTCACATGCAGTAGATAATAAAAATTCTGTGGAAAGTCATCGCTCTGACACGAAGAGGGGCGGGATTTCCGAGCTTTACGTGTTGTCAAACGAACGGACGAAAATGACCACAGCTTCGGGAGAATTAGATCACGGCGAATTGTCGAGTCGCGTGGAGAACGCGCCGGACGCAAACGGCAGCATCGAGGTCATTGATAAGGGTGTAATCGCGGAGCGTGAAAAGGATGATGTGGGAGACGACCATGATCTTGAGGAGGGGGAACAGGACGAGGTCCAGAGAGGGGGATGGGGGAATAAAATGGACTTCATCATGGCGTGTATCGGCTACGCGGTGGGCCTGGGGAACGTCTGGCGCTTCCCCTATCTCTGCTACAAGAACGGTGGAGGTAGGACAGGTCAATGTTTGTTTTCTTGGCTTTTATTATAAACACAATTTATAGCCTGCTTACATTCCAGTCCAAGGGTTCGCGTGGGATGTTAATATTGTAATTTTTATCTAAAGCCTCGTTTTGCTTTAGTACTTGGACCTCCGTCGAATTAAACATTTTTGTTGTATTGGCATGGATATGAAGCAGATAAAAACATCTTAAGTGATGATAATTATGACATTTTATTGTATATTACCCAAGTCACCTCAGGATCCAATGTCACACACTATCATGACTATGATTAGCCAAGATGCCGCAGACATTGGTAATTCATCTGTCATAATTATTTCAAATTGCCAAAGAATCCAGACAGTATGAATTTGCAGGAAGGACGGGGAGCGATTGGTGTTACTCAACAATGACTCCCTTTCATGATCAGATGATATAGATCTCCCTCACCTTTCTGCCTTCACACCAAACCCCTCAAAGAAAGCTTGAGCAATGAGCATTTTGGTTAAGTCTGGAGACTTTATGAGCAGGTGTTACATCTTGCCGCTAATTAAATTCGACGTGTGAATAATTATCGGCGACGTACTATTATCCATCTTAAATTGCTTCGAGTGCATCTTATAAAAAAATGTGTGCTCGTTTGGCCTGACTCTTCAGATAAAACTTCGAGTTTAGTATAAAAAAGGAAGAAGAATAAGTGGGTGCGATTTTCTCTATATGACTCCCCTTTATCTGCATCGAATTTCTGCGGGTACCACTTATTTTATAGGAGGCCTTATTTTTTGAAGCGGGTACCAAATCCGATTTATAAAATATAAAAGTCTCCCCTCCCTCAGGGAGCGAAATGGGGGGGGGGGTGAAAAGATACACCACGGGAAGTTACCCTAAACGAATCGTGTGGCTCTGAAGATGGTCAGAGCATAATCCGCCGAAACGTCGAGCTCATACATTTGGTTCTTTTCAGAACTGCACTGCGTTTTTTCAACTCTCTCAGGTCGAATAGAAAAGCTCAATCACGTCTTCCCCCTCCTGGGGGCACACTGACAGGGGGCACACACACGAGCTAGTGAGGCGCAGCCACTCGATCCCCGCCCTCTTCCCCTAGTTATGCCACAAGGTACACCATCTGAAGTTAATACGAATCGTATAATTCTGAAGACGGTTAGAGCATAATATCCGACAAAACGTGGAGTTGGTTATCGGGTTTTTTTTAAGAACCACCCAGCTTTTTTTTTGTAAACACTACTATCACATGGCATTCCACTAACTCTCTAAGTTAAACTCTCTATCATGCAAAGCCCAAAATGTCATTTAACGCCAAGTCTTAATTTTGAGAAGATCGTTTTAAAGTCTGTCAATTATCTTATATTTTTTGTTAATCGGGCAATCGGTCTAAACCCCAATAAACGGACTAACTGACGTCTTCGAAGGCATATGTCATTTAACGCCAAGTCTGAATTTTGAAAAGATCGTTTCTCCTTCTGTCATTTATCTTATATTTTTTTAATCGGTCTAGACCCCAAATGGACTAACCGAAGTCTCTGAATATAAAAATTCATTTAACGCAAAGCCTTAAATTTGAAAAGATCATTTCTCCTTCTGTCAGTTTTCTAATATTCTACTAATCGGGCCGTAGGCACCGAGGCTCTTCGTAGAATGTATGTTAATCAACTTGACCCAAATCTGGATGTTGTGTTCCGTTAAAGAGAGGCCATGAACCAGTGTTGATCTGTGCCGTGATAAACCGTGAGAGAATGAAATGATACACAAGCGCTCGACACTTTTCTGGGTTGGCATATTTTTGCTGGCGTTTGGCAAAACAGGTTGTCAGCTCCAGAGAGAGGTCAGTAGGCCAAAGCGTCATGTATGCGAGCCAAGTGCTGCCATAAACATAAAATAATATCTAAGGGGAGCAAGCTATCATCAGCTTCCGGCAGATGGCCGGGCAGGCTCACCGTACTCAGTGGGTTCACTGACCTCCATTTCCCTGCGCATTTTTTTGCTGCCGGGGAACAGTGCAGATTAGTACATGTAAATAAAAAATAATAGGCACCAATAATAACAGATTTCTTTTCTTCCAAAAATTTGGGTATAATACCCTCAAGTTCGATTTAAGGTGTCACGGTGTTCAACTTAAGCGAAACTTAGAGCTAAAACTTGATTTACCCCCCCCCCCCTTCCGCTTTCCGTTCAAAATTGTAATATCCCTTTAGGAAAAGTATCCCTGAAGCCTATTGCCATTACGAAAAATGAAATCCCCGCTTCATTGTAAAAAAAGGAACTTTTGGGTCAACTTTCATTCAAATTTCCGGTTCTGGGCTTGGACCCTCCATTTTTTTTTACAAACCCTCAAAGTGCAAGTGTTACCAAACAGGGATTTCCTGTGCTGTACCTTAAATGAAATAACATCATCGTTGTAGTGACCTCAATAAAGAAGACAGAATTAAGCTCAGCCAAAAAAGAGTTGAACAACCCTGTGTCAACTATGGGTACTTAATTAAAAAACGTGAAAATAAAGCTTTATGTCACGGTTTTGCTAATGTAAAGCAATTTTCCAAAAGCGTAAAAAAATAAAAACCGTCCTTATTAATAACCCCGAGAATGCCACTTTAAAGACATAAGTGAAGGCGAAATCTGCTCTCAATCAAAGATTCAAGGTTGAACAAGTAGATTTCTTCGCCCTAATAGCTAAAGTAGCCTGTAAATGTACTTTTCAGGGTTATTCAAACAAAGTGCATCACCAAAAAAACACATTAAAAACACCAAAAAACAGGGTTGCTTTTGAAATTCTATCCTACACAGCTTTTTTGTGATTTTTTTAAAACTAATTTCAGGAGCGTTCCTTGTCCCATACTTCATCTCGCTGGTAGCCTGCGGGGTACCAATGTTCTTCATGGAAGTGTCGCTGGGCCAGCTCATGCAGACCGGCGGGATCGGCACCTGGGACATTTTTCCCGCCCTCAAAGGTGAGGCTGGATTTATTGGCGGGACAGTCTGCCTTGAGTTGGCAGAACCCCCGGGAAACAGATTCGATATAAAGTACACCTGTTGTAGTCCTCACGGGAGATTGGGTAATACAAACAATATGCGCCACCCAGGGGTTCTGTAACAACCCAGAACATTATTGTCATTTCTATTACACACTTCTTCGGGGTTCCTTGCACACATTGTTTTGTACCTCGAAAATAAAGTAAATTTATAGTTGTATTGTGAATAACGAAAGTGGTACATAAGGGAGACATTTCCATAGATTTGTGCACAAAACGAAAACCCTCCCCTAACCCCAACTCTAAAATCTTTCCCCAACCAAAAATTTCAATTATACTATTCTCGACCTAAGGAATCGTTTTAATTTAAGCAACTTTCGACAGTAAAACTCCTAGACAGCATTAGGGTGACATTCAAAATGTCTCTGTAATGCCCGATGTCCCCCTATAATGTCAAATAATTTACTAGAAAGTGTCTCGCAACATGTATAAGCTACCATTCGAAAGAATATAGCGCTATGGTTGTATAACCTGAAAACTGTACATTGTTTAATTAAACTGTGAAACTAGCGGCATGACGCCTGTACGTAATGTCATCTGTTTCATCCTTGGTTTGCTTCTTCGCTCATCCCCACCCAACGGCCTATCCCATGATGTACGTCAAAACACGTAATACAGACAATCATGGTACACGGTGAGAATCCGTTACACGTACTTGCTGTAATTTAGAGGTAAACTTTTGATCACAACACTAGAGAATTTCGAACCTGTAATTTTTCGACCGAAGCTCCGGTCTTAGCTTCATCAAGACCGGAGATGAAGACCGGAGTTTCGGTCGAAAAAAATTACAGGTACGAAATTCTCTAGTGTTGTGATCAAAAGGGTACCTCTACATTGTATCTAACCACGGATCTACACGTTCGTGATCTAACTACCATAACAGATGAACTTTCACGCTAACATTTATACTTGCTATTGCTGTAGTGTTCATGATACATGAAGCAAGTTTCCCACCGGGGGGCTACGAAGTTGAAAATAAAGTAGACCCTGGGGACGAGGTTGTTGTGAAAGATTTTCGAGGTCACCAGAACCCTGGGCCGGTGTCACGGTCTCACTTCTCCGGCGTGCTAGCTTCTCCAAAAGGGAAATTTCGCTTCAACACGCATGCACAAAATTGCGCAGTAGTGTACATTTTCGTCACTGTATTAGTGTGCTGAGTTTTTCGGGGCTGTACTTGTGTACGTAAGATATTTGTATGCATAGAATTTTCTTGGCGCGCACTGTTAACTTCCTATGTTAAAGACTTGAATTTGAAATGCACATTTATTTTAAGCCGTGGTTGCAAAAATAAGGACAAAATGGACCACGAACGAGCAAGGAACACGGACCAAGGAGTTCGTTCTTAATTATTCCTCCATGAACACACACATGCGTGGCGCTGGGAACACAAAATAATCAGAATGCTTGCAAGACCGTGGAATATGACTTGACCCACAGGAAGTGTTACATAACACATTCTTGGGTGTCCCTCACTGTGTTATTAACGGGCTTCAGACTTCAGAAAACAGCCCGAGGAAAAATAAGCACAGCGGACACATGAGCATGAATCGTGCTCATGTAACGTGCACTGTAACGTGCTCAATTATCCGCCGAATTAACCCGGAGAAGCTAGCACGCCGGAGAAGTGAGACCGTGACACCGGGTACGAGCCGAAGTTTCAGTTCTAGGATATCTGTTGTCGTACACATTGACTTCCTCATTTGTAGCACGATATGGGACGGAGGGACCCCCCTTTGTGTTGGTCATTATGTTACCAGAATCTCAGGATTTTTTGTTGTTGAGATATCTAGGGGAGGGGTGTGTTAGGTAACAATAGTCTAGGGTTTGTATAGAGTATAGGGAGATATATCGTTCTGGGTATAGACTTCCTCACTGAGTCTTCTTTTCCCCTTCCACCACAGGCGTGGGACTTGCAGCCGCAAACATAGCCGCCATGCTGAACATCTACTACATCGTCATCTGCGCATGGTCCATATTCTATTTCTTCGCCTCCTTCAGCAGCCCACTTCCCTGGCACGGATGCCTGAACGACTGGAACGACGTCTACTGCCTGGACAGGGAGCTGCAGGACAATCTGACGGCGGGGACTAGGAACGAGTCTTTTCTGACGATCAACGGGTCCCTGCTGCATAGGAATCTGTCTGAATCGCCAGCGCAACAGTATTGGGAGTACGTCAGGGCACTAGACTTAAAAACGTCATTCATAAAGTGGCGCTAATATTATACAGGTGCCTGAAGCACACGTGGTTGCTTTGGCACTAAAAAAGGGGAACAGATATTACATGTACTTTACAAACTTATATACTTCTAGTGGGGTCTATTTTGCTTTAGTTAGTCAGCAATACTTTCTGGAAAGAATATTATTACGAAAAACAGATGAAAAAACAACGTCAGTTTTCACATTTTTGTTTCGTGTTCTTTCAAACACGTCGTCCTACTTTCTAATATTTTTTTTCTAAACACCGGTTTTATCAAGAGTCAAGGCAAACTATTTACCTTGTTTGTAATATTTTTCGAGCAGTGTTATTGCTGTTCGAGCCAAAGCATCATTCGAAACATTTAAATACAACGGCCAATTCCCCCCCTCCCCCATTTTATTTTCAGACGCAGGGTATTAAGCGTGTCATCGGGTATTGGCGAAGTGGGTAGCATACGGTGGGAGTTGGTAGGCTGTGTGGCGCTAGCCTGGGTCCTCACGTTTCTCTGTATCTGGAGGGGAGTCAAGACTACTGGAAAGGTACGGTGACAGTTCACAGTTCCGGTGAATTTCAATGCGAATGTTTCATCACGCCAACTTCGCTTCGCGTTCACATTTGCGTAAAGTGTGAAACCACTTTCATGTCTTGTTTTTAAATACAATGGGCTTTATTCACGAGTTGGCCATTTTTGTCGAAGTCCCTGAATGCATTTCATTAATTGTTAACTGTTGAATGGGATGGCGCCAGACTATTTATGCAGGCACAATGCAGCCTTATGTTACTGTCATTTTTTTTTTAATATGGCTTTAAACATAGGGAATGTTTAATTACAAACTTTATATTATTCATTGAATCAGACTGGAATTTATTATAAATTAACTTGCTTTCATTTCTCTTCGCCAGTTCCGAAATTTAAGATTTTACCCGTAACTTTCAATAAGGCCCATGTAGCAAAACTTTGTGTTGATGTTAGTTTGTGTATGGTTAGTTTGGATGCGCATAATAAAAAGTAGACCTTGTTTACATTAATTGCAACTGAATCAAAGCAATAAAAAAAACACCTCAAATGCAAAGAGACTAGATGGGAAATGAACACTTAAGTTCAGTTAATAGCGATACTAGTTTGTAGTGATATTTATTTCACATCTTGTCTTCCATGTTGGTATAGATTGTGTGGTTCACGGCTCTAGTCCCGTACGTGATCCTACTGATTCTCCTCATTAACGGCCTACTACTGGAGGGATCGATGGACGGTATACTCTTCTACATCACGCCTACTTTTGACAAACTCGGGGAACCTACGGTAATTTTCTAACTGCATGATTAGTACTTACCTAGAATTGGAAATACATGTATTGGTGGGGCATAATTTATGAGAACTAAAAAAAAAAAAAGTACGTAGTGTAGAAACATTTAGGGATGCCCAAAATACTTCGAGAAAGGAGCAATAATTTCCTTCCTTTATCTTGTCTTAATAATTTCCTTCATTTGATATTTGTTTTTATCATGGTACAAAAATGAGTGTTTAAATTCAAGGTTTTGATCCGAACGTAAAATTAACTTCAATACGTAATTTCAAATTTTGCTCATAATTTTTTTTGTGTGTTTGAGCATTGAGGTTAACTAAATTATAGTTAAAGAAGACTCGCAGATACTTGCATGTACATGTATATAGAGGCTTATTTTAATAAATGATATAGGTAGAAATTAAAATAAATCATTGATTGAAATGACTTTTTTTTCTTGACCAGGTATGGGTTGATGCTGCTACTCAGATCTTCTTCTCCTACGGTGTGGGTATCGGCTCTCTCATCTCCCTCGGTAGCTACAACCCTTACAGCAATAACTGCCTTTTGTAAGTAACAAAGAACGGAAATCTTGCTCACTTCGAGATTCGACTCACTTCATAACCCCCCTATAGAGCCGCACTAACTTTTGTGAATAATCACAAAGTGTGTAAACACCTTCAATCTTGGACCCCCTATTGTCCCTCTTTTGTTTGTCCATATGTTTTGTACACGATCGTCAATCGCGGACCTTCGGGAATTGTAGACCCTATTGTACTCTATTGTTCAACGTCCCCAATTGAATGCAAAAAAAACATACCCATCATTTCCTGTGTGTTAAAAAACGGCATCAGATGGCAACGCTGCGGTTCACGTTGTATCACATAGACGGTATGCGTAGCGGCCATCTTAGATGCATCTTTTGTTATTGTAATTCAGGAACAATGAATGCACAAAAAAAAGGAACTCATGCATATCGCAGCAAAACAAAGGCATTGTCCTCTAAGATGGCTGCTACACATAAGGCCAATTGGCAATTAAAAGAAGAAAATCTATTCTCTCGCTTTTTATGGATAGAGTAAAAACAGCCATAACTAATTTTCCTTAAAATAAATTTACCTTGCAGCAGTAAAAACAAAACAAGGTCGGTGTTACAACTGCGCACGCGTATATCAATATTTTCCGATTTTTGGCTTCGGGACAAGACTAGTGTGTGCAGGAGGAGGCAAAATCTTTGATCTTTGAAAAGAAAGAGACAGTGTGGTTTGTTTTTACCAGCTGGCAAAGGGGGAGATTCATTATCTATTCTTAGCACTGCACTTTATTAAGTTTGCACAGGACAGCTCGTTGCTGACGTATTTACCATCTACAAGAGCGTTCCCAACACATTCCCGTCTCGTGGATTCGGAGCTAAAAATAGGCGTCTAGAAACAAACGAGTGTGTTACGTGCAGAGCAGAGCGCACAATTTGAGTGAAATCTAGTTCAAAACAATAAATCTTTATTATCTGGACACGTTACATATTGCCTCGCACTTAAGACTTCGCGGGTCTTACTATATTTTGTGTGTAAAACGATCCTTTTGCTAATAAAATTATGCGCCTGCTGTAAAAAGAGCCTTAAGCAAGACAGTCATAAGACAGACGGGTTTATTTTTTTTTACGTTATAGGTCAATCGGAACAAGGAGTGTGAATATAATCTTTCCATTTCGCCTTCCTGTTGCTTCATAATCTTTGCTTCACGTAATGGAGTTTATGAAATGTTGATTTTTTTAAACTGACCATTTTATAACAGGTAATAATTAACTTCAAACAAGGAGATCATTTTCACCGAATCAAAAGTATATAGACTGGTCATTATTTTTTCAACCACCAGTTTTTGTTGCTTTTTAAAGGTAATTGTACGACCTTTTTTCTTACAATTTATCAATAGATAAAAATTGTACTCCAGACAGGATGATTATAATTATAGAAACTCAACATAATTGCTTTACCCAAAGAAAAATGCAAACAATTTTCTGTTTTTCATCGGAACATTTTCAACAACTGTCGTTCAGATTTTTTTATGTTTTCATAATAATATATGTTTGTCTTTTGAATTCTACCTTTCCGGATGAAATAACACCACAACGGTTCAATGTCTTGTTTCTTTTGGTCTAGTGTTTTAAGAATGAATATTTTGGATCAGGATATAACCATAGAGCTAGGGTATCCCACCGTCAATAATACCATTTGGGAGTCACCTTATAGATTTAGGAGTTACACCTTTGGGAGACATTTCAATGTTTCCCGAATGCCTGAACTGCCATTTCTAGGCAAAATGTTGGTGTCGCAAATAGGCTAGATTGATTGCTCGTAGTCCAGAGCATAAATATACCAACATTTGTGGGGGTAGGATAAGGTAAAATTGGGATTAGGTGTCATTAAAGTTGGGGGGGGGGGAATTTTGCACAAGTCTATGGGAATGTCTCCCTTGAGGTACCATAGTCGGTTATTATAACCACAACGATCAGAACAATGTCAAAAATCTGCGGCTGCCGACGGGCACCATTTTCAGCATTTTGAAGGCTTCCATTTTGATTGCACAGTTTTTTCCGGAAAGCTCTCAATAACTTGCACAAATAATCACCGATTTTGCCTAATTGTTGAAATTGCCTCCGGGTTTTGTCATTGTATCTCAATAAAAGGGATAATGCGGGGAATATAGTTTATACCTAATAACGAGTCTGTCTACTGCCCTTATCCTGCAGTGACACGTTAGTCGTCGGGGTCGTAAACGCAGCAACCAGTCTATTTGCAGGCTTGGTCATCTTTGCAGTCCTTGGCTACATGGCGTTCATCCAGGAGGTTCATGTCAAGAACGTTGTGGATGAAGGTAGGAGTTCTTGTTTGTTGCCGTTTTTTTTTCTTTTTTTACTCAAAATTTTATGGCAATTTGGAAGCATGTGGAGGGTGTGTTTGTCTCTTTGTCGGTCGGGCTGTCTGTTTGTTGTTTGTTGGGGTGTTTGGGTGTTTGTTTCGTTGTTAAGTTTTATTGGTTTATTGGTTTAGTTTTCATATCATCAAACATAATTAACAAGGAGCTAAATAAAGAACAACAGAAATAATATGAGGGAACCGGGTAAAAAACGTTAGCTTGTAGAAGACATGGGACCCATTGATTACAAAATAATTAACATGTACATACACTAGGCTGAATGTATCCAGTGAATATATTAATCAAGATTAATTGTTGAGGGGCGATTTTTGTTTGATTGTCTCCTTTGTTTGTACATTCGACCTTTCTGAATGTCAACATTCTTCAATTTTTTTTTCTTTCAACAACCCGCATTGGTTCAAACAAGAGAAATACATCAGGAATATAAAAGCGAACGGAATCAAAATAGGGTACAATAAATAAAACCGGCTGGCGAGTTCAGCCATTTTGAATGTGCTTTCACGAGAATACATCCACGTAAGCCTAATATAGACGGAGAAGCTTATAAATGATAATGCAAGACAATGCTGCCAACGGAATGACCTCCTCAAGATCAACCCGATCCCATCAAAGATCACATTTATAAATTACTCTTCCCTTCCCATTGATTGGAACCCCAAAACAAATCATTAACTTTCCCGGCCGTCCAATCTAAGCATGCATCAGTGCCCCTGTTCAGCGCTAGGGGATGATGTCTAGTGTCTCGCGGTGGAATGAGACAAATTGCACCCTAGTCACAACAATTGGTTTTTCTCGGAGAAAGCTGTAATGACCGGAGAGATGTACGGTCAGTCTAAATTTAGAAAGACCGGAGATTTCCAAGATAGCGAGAAATATCTACTAGGAAATAGCATTCTTTATTCCGGCTAGTGTTTGATCAAGCCATATTGTTCAATCGTATAGGAACTTGTAACAATTTAATTGATGGCAATTTTAGATAAACACTTTTTTGTGAGAGTTCCACTTCCATATGTTATATTGCTTGTGTTTTTTTTTCTTGGTTTGATATTTTTTCTTCCAAAGGCAACATTCAGGCCTTACGGCTTGCACCTATGTCCCTATATCAAAACTATCCGCCCCTCGTGAGTAAAAGTAAAGGAGACGAACCTGTGTTCACGGGAACGGAGTGCCCATCTCGTGAGAGTGCTACTGTATCTTGATGTTCCTACCTTTGAGTTTTGTCTGTATCGACATTTGCTAGCCGATACGTGGGCATGTTCAACTAAGACCACAACCCCAACCTTCCCAAATCCTCCAAAATCCTCTTTGCAAAATGGAGGATTTTGCAGGATGTGAGGCAGTGGTCAACTCCTCCAAGGACCACATTTAAGAAATAAGGGAGGATTTTGCAGGATTGAGGCTGTATGCTATTTTTACACGGAGGCAGTTGGAGGATTTTGCAGGATTGAGGTTACATCCTCGCAAAATGCCTAGGGAGTTAGGGTAAAAAAAAAAAAAATTATAAAAGAGTGAAAAATTCCACTATGCTTTTAGACATTAATGCTGTCTTGTCTGGTACCCTTTTCCCCAAGGTCCGGGTTTAGCGTTCGTGGCCTACCCAACCGCCGTGGACACTATGGCAGGGGCACCGTTCTGGTCGGTTCTGTTCTTCGGGATGCTGATCATGCTTGGACTCGACAGCCAGGTGACCAGCCATTTCATTAATAAAAGATGCCATGCACACATTTTCTTGCTGCGATCAATACCAGCTATTGAGAAGGCTTTCACAAATTAGATAAAAATATGTAATTTTTTCGAGTACAAAAACTGAAAAATAGGGGGCTTAACAAAACGCAGGACGTATCAAATTTTGCGGTATTACACCAAGTGTTATCTTCATCTATATTGAATAACATGATAGTGTTATTTGAAAACCGTTGTTTTAGTGGCTCACATATCAAAATTTGCCTTTTCGTGTTTTTCCTGAGATAGTTCTGCGTGGTTGAGGGTTTCGCCACGTCCATCATGGACGCCTGGCCTCGGCTGAACCTCCGCAAGAGGCGGACCCTGTTCCTTATCTCCATCTGCACCATCGACTTCTTCCTTAACCTCTTCTGTATCACTGAGGTGAGTATTCTTCGGGTCGGTTTTGTTCTCGCCAAGACAATCAGGGGCGGATCTGGGTTTGGGTCAAGAGGAGGGTTTAGCTGCCTAGAGGGGTTATAGTCCTTTATCATGATGCCACCGTTTCAGTCATGCTCCCTGTATCCAATAACAGAGCTGAATGATCTTTTTTTGTGCAACAAGGAACCAGACTATTTTTCCTTCCAGCCTCGCTTTGGTTACGTTGATTTGAATGGGAAAAATCCAAATGGCCGCAGCATGATAATGGTCTATCGCAGGCATTCGCTGTGTTCTTTTGCGTGCTTTTTCTATATTTTCGGCCCATAATTCGGCTAAGCATTGCTTTTTATTTCTCTGCCACTGTACATAGACTTTATGCGTTGCGAATGTCTCATGGGGGTTTTCTTTGTTATTATAATTCAATTGCCCTCTGACTCCGCCTTAATGCATAATGTTTGTGAGTCGCTAGCTAGCGGATCACTGTCTTGCATACATGGGCACAGAAAGGTTTTGCTCCACTGAAGGAGGTAACACAATCTGATGTAAGTTCCATGTGGATGCTTTCACATCGGGTCCTTGTGTAGCACTTATCTCTATCGTACAGCTCGGGTGTGCTCCTGTAAGGGACACGGGCAAGTGGTACTTGTACTAGGCTAGACGTCTTCTACTTTGAGTGCCTTTCAGCCTTGTAATGGTAGACTTCCGTAAGAAAAGGAAAATACACTGTATAAAGGAATCCCGTATGAATTTCATACTGCATATCACTTTGACTTATGTTTAAAATAGTTTCTGCATACCAAGCTGATTTTTTTTATTGTGTTGAAGCGATGCATTGTCGACCTTTCTTTCTAGATGAAATTGGCTGTGCGTTTATAATACACCAATTGTTTTAATAAAGAGACATTCAGATGCCCTTTAAAGACGACCTTTTTATTAATTAGTTACATTTGCCTGTACAGGAGAAAGTCCAGTCCTCGATACGAATACCGGTGTCATATGAAATTCGGACTCCTATAAAATCTGAACTCCTTCACCCTATTATTGGTTAAACCCTCTCACGTGACCGGTCACTCCCCTAATATCTCCACTTGGGCATGCGCAATACTATACCAATGGGTTTGAATTTCTAGAGTCCTAAATTCGCGCTACACCGACTGTATTATCGCTGTCACGTTATTTTCTTTAGGCCATGTCAGTTCCAAACGAAACTGTCGCGGCTTAGTTTGGCTCTAAATTGCCTTTTGCTTAATTTCCTCGTCACGTAAAGCAAATGTTGACCGTCCTGTATATATGCCCTTTTTGCATTGACGTGCGGCAAATACAAAAACAAAAGGTACTGACAGAGGGCAGTATTTGTAAGACAATATTCCACTTGATGTTGTAATGTTTATGATGTCAGAAAATCTGTTAAAATGCTAATGCTGTAATAAAACTAAGTAGGAAATGTGTAGCAAGTGAATGTGTGGACAAAATATTTTTCAAGCCTCTAATTCTCGATAGGTCCTAAAAAAAATTCAGCATTTCTGAAAATAAGAAATCAACATTTCGCACAACCGATTGTTTTAATACGTGAATTTAAATGAACGAAAATCTTTCCTGGTGATTTATAAAAAAAAAAATACGTATTAAGCATAGTCAATATAGTTTTACCTTTTAATAAATAACTAAAATGAGGAAGGAACATTTCTCACAAGACGTAAAGCCTATCTTGAGTTTGTGTTGTGGAGAACAAGGCATTGGATATACACGTAATGGACCAATCAGAAGATGGGAACGGATGTCGTTTGGGGAAAAACGATTCGCAGGCGGCGGGCCACGTGACCGTTTACCTTAAGGCTCTATTCGCATGAGCAAGAGTAGGTGTCGCTGTCACTCATTCGCGCGCGTGCGAAGTTTTAATGAAGAGGTAGCCTTGGAATCGAAAACCAAGAGCATCAGTTCTCTAACATGCACGGGGGACTTCAAGGCATGTAGGATCATTTGCTTTTCATGTATTTTGTTCGTTTCCAAGAATAACGCCACTCAAAATACAAGAAAGAAGACCGTTCAAGTTTCAGCTCAGTGGATATTACAGTATCGAACAAACAGTGAAAAACCATGCACATTTTGATCACGAAATACGATTTTGTCGACAGTGCTCTTTATTTTCAAAAATCGGTCAGTTGACTGATCGTTGGATATCACCACTATATTTCTTGATTTCTTCTAAATGACAGCAAGCCAGACGGCATAATTGTACGGGGTGTTTAGTACTAGTGCGATCTTTATTCCAAGTAAGCTTTTTGATAATAATTCGGTAGGTTACTTTTGTAAATGCTCTAGGTCTGTGCCTTTAAAAGTACAAAATGTCGCACAGATATTATTGCTTAGCATTAAGGGCATCGGCTTTGATGTTAATTTAAAATTCGTGTATCCATGTCTATTTTTTTCCTCGAGTTTACAAATATATAATAATAAATAACTTACCAAATAAACAATAAATAATCGTGGTTGATTCCCGCGCAGGGCGGTATCTACATTTTCCAGCTGATGGACAGCTACGCGGCCAGCGGTATGCCGCTGCTCTGGGTAGCTGGTTGGGAGTGCCTAGCCTTAGCTTACGGCTACGGAGCAAGACGGTTCTACGCTGATATCAACACCATGTTGACCTTTACACCAGGCTGGTTCTGGCCGGTCAGTTGGGTCATACTCACACCACTGGTGTCATTTGTAAGTTGATTGACATCGTACTGTGCACACTTCTTCTTTTTTTCCCCCACCAAAATAATATTTAAAAAAAAAAATAGTTTGGTAGGCACATTTCAAACTTTATAACGTTATTATTTAAACTATTATTTTTCTTTACCATTGGCACTTTGAGACCAGAATATTTTCAAATGACTTTTCAAATGTGAAAATTAAAAATTCATAGCAAATCAAAAAGGGCATTTTTTTATGATTGATAGAATACAAAATGTTTTATGCTATACAATTGAACGCAATAAAAAGTACGGTGTTTAATTTGCTGGACCAGTGCGGTTCAATTAAACTTGTGGGGAAAAAACATGAAGACTAATTACCAAATAGATCATTTGAATAAATAGTGTGGTCTTTTCTCCAGTAAAGAAAGGCGCAGTTTCCACGTTTTCAACAGGTTAACTACAATCTTAAGTCACAACCAATCCTAGAATCGACTTCACCAATAATAAGTTTAATACATCATTATTGCAGCTCAATATCTCTTCTTAAAATCTGTTTTGGTGAACTTCGTCCTAATATCTCATAACCACTTGGGTTATTTGTGCAAATTTCGTATACAGGGCATCTTCCTCTTCAGTCTGATCGCCTACAAAGGCCCCAAGTATGGCGAGGATTACTATTACCCGAAGGCTGGCGAGATGCTTGGCTGGTTGATGGCTCTAGCACCCATGCAGTGGATACCAAGCTACGCTATCTACCTATACTTTACCACGCCCGGAACTTTCCACGAGGTTGGTGACTCGGTGATAACTTGATTGAAAACCACTCGTCCGTCAAACTAATGAAATGGAAACCTATACTTTCAACATGCATGTAAACAATGTGTAAAAGTGTTTGCCATACTACCGTTTCAACAAGTTTTGAACTATTGTTTTCACACCTCTGTTGCTTGCACAGTCATCCAAGACAAGGGGATACATACAAATAACCCCAGTCCCGTTTCATACTGCATGGCGCTGAACTAAGGTAGGAGCGTCTCTGGTCAGACCAAAGAAGTCTGGGTATCAGACAGGCGAACTTTATGTATAGACCTTTCTACGCTTGGTTGGCAAACTGCATTTTTGCCAACCACGGGTTGCAAAACTATTGAAGGTCCAACACTGCAAAAATGAAGAAGAGCTATTACAGATAACCAAAATATTTTTTGATTGTTGGAAATACAACATTGTCAACAAAGCTACAAAATAATTCCTAAACATGCTTTTTTTACTTTGTATTGAGGGCGTTATGTGGACTTTTTAGGGGAAAAACATGTTGCCAACCACGGCTTCAATTTATGCACTTGCGGCAGCCCATATAAAATGAAGCCAATGTTTACAACAACAAAAAAGTATATTGTTTTCCGTTAAATAGAATGTGGAGTCGTTCCAAAAGAATGAAACAGTCCACCTTTCCACCTTGTCACTTCTATACATCAATCGTCATTAGTCAAATTTAATTGAAATCGTTTGAATGATTTAGTTCCGCGCAACTGTGGTCCGCTAGTCTGAAACGGCTCGCAGGGAAAAGTGGATGAACCACCTTTGGTCAGTTTTAAGTTCGTAACTGCAAATCCCGTGTTTTACTACTTCGTCATTTTTTTGTATTACCTTTTATAATCCTTGTGTTTCAAACCCTCAGCGTCTCCAAATCATGACCACGCCCAGGGTGTTCCCCAAAATACCGGCCCAGCCCCCAGCCAACAACAACCGGCCCCGCCCCCTGCGCGAAGACGACGACGATCTGTCCCTGACACGCCTACAGATGACGGGGCGGGAATCTGACGACCTCCCTCCGGGCTACGAGACGGCGATAGCCCTCCCACTGAACGCTGAAGACAGGCAACAACATCAGGACATTGTATAGATTTCATTCCCACTTTTTAATTGAATATGTTTTGCTTTAAAGTGCATTTTCCTGAAGCGCTTTTTCAGTCCCTTCAGTGTCAATTGCGTTGTTGATTTGTAATTGCGTTATTAGGTGAACTAAACACCGCCAAAAAAAGAAAGTTCACACTCATTGGAGGGGTCATAATTTAGAATTTGATCATCTTATGATAATGTCATTTATATACCTTTGGGGAATGTTGTTAGGTACGTTTTGATACCCCGTTTGCTACCAACGACTGTAAATCGTCCAAGATTGACAACGGTGTATGAAAAATGATGCAGTTTGACAAGCTGCAAATTTAAAGAGTACGCGAGTGGAAATTGCTGAGTGACAATGTCACGCTGCCCGAAACGAACGGCAGGCCAGGGAAAATCGATCCCACAGTGCTTGCATGGGAGCACGCGAATTGTATTACCCACGCTTTGTTGGGGCACTGTACAGTCGATAGGGGCCAATTACGGGCACGTGTGGTTACGCTTAGCAATTTCTCCTTGCGCAATCTTTAAATTTACAACTTTTCAAACTGCATCATTTTTCAAAAACCGTTGTCAATCTGGGACGATTTACAGTCCTTGGTGGCAAACGGGGTATCAAAATGTAGCTACCAACATTCTCCAAAGGTCTATATAAATGACGTCATCATAAGACAATCAGATTCAAAATTATGACCCCTCCAATTAGTGTGGACTTTCTCTTTTTTGTGGTGTTTATAACCGACATGAACAGTATTGGGTGAAAATGTGATAGCCTTTTGTGGGACAATGTGGCGGACACAATGAGAGGGCGCTGTTTAGTGTGGATAGATTGGGGTATACATTATACAACAGGTTTATGCATTGCAAATAGCGTCATTCTATCGTGTTTATATCTAAAACAAAAGGCTACGGTAAGCAGCTGTAATTAATATCTTCTTGTAATTGTGTAGCACTAATTTTCTTTTTCAAAACAAATGCCCTCTTTAATATGCTTTGTCTTATTATTCAATAATTCACTATAGACATTCTTTACTAGATTAGTTCATTAACGTAGTTTTGATGGCGTACATTTCGGAAGATTTTTTTAATGATATATAATTCAAAAGGAAACGGGTTTCAATCGGTGGGCCATTACATGTTCTAATTTGTCAAATTAGGTTTTGCCCTTTACCGACGTTTTTTAAACACTGTATACTCAGTGTGTTACCTCCCGAGTGAAAGTTGGAAAAATCACTCGGGTGGGACTCGAACCCACGACCTCCTGCTTTCTAGTGCAGATGTCTTACCACTCGACCACCGAGCTAACGGGATCGGTTGGCCGGTTCGAATCTGATGTACATAGCAGCGGGTACCGCATAAACTATTATAAGATGGAATTTTTGCGTCGGGGTGATATATTCTAATTTGCTTTGAAGTTTGCCGGTCGAATGTGTTCTGGACAGGGTGTGAGTCATAGCAAGTGTACACGTACATCAACATGAGCCGCCATTGCGTCTTCAGTACATTAGTTTTCCACAGTGCACTGTCAAGATGACTTGGGTTTGTCCTAAATGGATCAGAAACGTCGGCATAGCATCCACGAGGACGCCATTATTTGGAAAAATTTCCATATACGAAGTTCACTAATTTTCCTCTGTATTGACTAACAAGCCCCCAGATAGCAATTTCATGTCATCAAAGTCAATTTGAGCAGTGAGAAAATACAAGCATTTTCTTAGAAAACAATTTTTCAGTCCAATCTCATAGGGTTTGTACACGGGGTGTTGAGTGAACTTCGTACATGGAAATCTTTCCCATTATTTAAACAAATAAATCAACTTTTGGTGAATGTACATTGAAAAGATGTATACTTTTAGCGAAAACACACACTTACACACTCAAATAATTCAAAGTAGTTGACACCACTGTTTAGATGCAGGAATGTGGTTTTATTGAATTATCTGATGCGAAGTTTCCATTATACACAATATACACAAACAGTGCAAAGAGTTTGTTTTGATTTTTCTTTTGCACTTCGATCAACGGTATGTTTGATGTAAATCGTCTTCAGGTAGCATTTCCATTGCACAGAATACAGGTACATTTGTATACAGGGCGATCAAAAAATGCAACCCTAAAACATTTGGCTTTTGAAAAAAAAAAGGTTCGGTGGATTTGTATGAGCTTTTCTTTTAAATACTGAACAAAATCATGAAAATAGCACTTTGGGTTGCTGAGAAAATCCCAATTATGTAAAAATACATGTAGTCATTTTCATCCTGTACACAAACCATCACCACAGTAAGGGATTTTCACTGTACCTATTTGTGCATGTCCTAATCCTTACAAAACAACATGGCACATCGACAAGAGTACAAATGAATTTGATGGAAATACCTTTTATTTTTCCACCTGAACAGGTATCTCATCCTTTTAAGTACTATTTTAAACCCTTTCAGCATCATAAATATGTCAAAATACTGAAGAAATTGCACAAATGAAGGATAATTGCACAGTAGGCGTCCAGTAAAATGTTTCACTGTTTGAAGTATTTGTGTACAGGATGAAAAATGACTACTTTTACAAAATTGGCATTTTCTCAGCAATCCAAAGTGCTATTTTCATGATTTTTTTCAGTATTTGAAAGAAAAAGCTCTCAGCTTTAATCTGATACCCAAAACATAAAAATCCACCGATCTCTTTTCTTTTTTTAAAGGAAAATGTTTTAAGGTTGCATTTTTTGGGGGTCACCCTGTATATGCGGAAGGTGAAACAATATACCTCTTTACGAATTCTTTAAATACTGAACATAATAAGCATGTTTTTATCAGAGGTAAAGTGTTCAAGGTAAAGATCTTTTTCATTTAAAAAAATAAGCCAAGAAAAAGGTTCAGAGATGGATCTGCCGATGACGAATCATGTTGTTTTTTTACAAATGAAATCTTACAAAACGTCAGGTTGAATCAAGGAATTGACTTGGGTAGTTTGCCAAGTGAGCAAGTCCAAGAATTCGCGCCCGCTATGTCCCATACGTGACGAAAGTTTAACCCTCTAAGATATTCATGGATTTCAGTGTTTTTATTCTACTGTTGGGCATCTGCAAGGAGAATACCCCAAAAGATTCCTTTATGTTATTAGTTTTTGCGATGATTATGTAATTAAAGAAAATATGGTGTTACGTATGCGACCAAAAAAAAAAGAACTTTTCTTGGACTTGCCCAACTGCGCATCAAGCCGTCTCCAATAAGTCAATGCCTTTGTTCACTTAAAGTTTGTTTAAAACCGAACCTTTCCCTTTTGTTGTTTATTTGTTAAAATATTTGGTAAAATAAAAAAAAAATACTCATAAAAACAAAAACACAGAAGAGTTTTACATATTCTTCTTCCTTGTGTATCTTCCCCTGGAATGCCCACATTTTGGTTTTATTAAGTGGAAGAAATTGATACATAACTGGGTTGGAAGTTGGAACTGAATAATGTGATGCTAACATTGTGTTATATACATTGCATACGACTGGTCTGGCAGCATTTATACATTTCAGTAGAACAAGAAAAGAAAGATTTTGAAAAGTCTGCTGACCGGTGTTAAAATACTGAGTTAAGAAATTTCACACGTTTGTGTGTAATTGAGCGAGTTGCTTTAGTTGGCATAAGGCAACAAATGGAGATTGCATGTTTAATCTCTACGTCAATTTAACATAGTTTTCTATGTTCTGCTGGACATAAATTTAGCATTATATTACAAAAATATAAACATTGGCAACTTGGCTTGAAGGAAAATGGTGAGCTTTGGATAAGGTTAGCGACTAGCGAGCGCGCCGAAACATGATTTTCCAGCTACACACAAAAGCCCATTATCTCAATACCACACAAAATCCCTCTAGTGTACAAATACAATGTACATGTATATGCTAAGCAGCAAAATGTGGCACTGATCCAAATGATATCTCAGTACTAGGCATGTGAGTACGTATGTGTGTCAAGCATTCCCCTGCACAATCAATTCATTTTATTCCATTTTAAATATGTCAAAAACGTTATAAATCGATTTCAGAAGATGTATTCAATTATTTTCTATGCCTTTTAATAGTTAATGTTAAGGAAGACCGACAAGATTTTTTTTTTTGTGCTTCGACCGGAACTCTCTATCTTTTTAAAATTATTTTAAGTTAAAATAAACATAAATATAAAAAATACATAGAATTCTTTTGCTGATAATTTTTTAAGCCTCATAAAATATTAATATTACACATCTATTCCTCAATCTTTGACTCAACCTCTTGATTTTAATTAAACACTTTCAAACTTTAGGGATTCTTTTTAAAGGATTTAATTTAAATCACACCAATACCAACAAGATCACCAAAGACTAATTTTGAAAGTTTTCAAACATCAGTACAAGCCTGAAATCTAATTTGACCTCTCCCTGGTTCACATCGATTATGGAATAGGACTGACAGACCAAATGGCGCTCGAGAACCAGTGAAATCTTGACCAATATTTTTCGGGACATTGGGGTTGTTATAAATCAATAGAAGATAGCAGGCCTTAGATATTGGCAATGAAACAACCTAAAACGATATTCTTTGATTAAAGTACATGTACATGTACCATGTAAAATTCCTTTGGCCCCAGTTATTAGTATTTGTGACCCACTGAGGCAAAATGAGGAATGTCCCCCAAAACTTTGTTTTTAGTAATCGACGCCTGAAGTCGGATACATGTATACTAGAAAAATCATGTCAAAATCGATATTGATAGTTTCGTATTTTTGAGTGGCCAAGGTATCCAAGATTTACACTATGCATTTTTGTTGGGGAAAAAAATACCCACAAAAGCGGAAAACCTAAGGAATGTTTTTCACTGCCCTTGGCAGCGCAATGCGTGTCTTTTTTTCAAAGCCGTTTTTCTCGAAATGAGTTTGGCGAAGATTGGCAGGACACCGTTGATGTTCCTGCGGCATATCTTTGGAATTAATTAAGCTACAGAAATATTTTTGGTATCATTGGAAAGCCAATGATTTACGCTTAATATGATGTACATAACGTGAAAAGTCAAAGGTGGGGGTTATTCCTCATTATGCCATGGCAGGTCACATTATTCAACTGGAAAAACAAATCTGAAACCTTAAACAGAAACAATGTGCAAACCAACACTATTTGAGGTAGTTAATGTTCGCATTGTACTACACATGGTTCCTGGTAAGTGTATAACAGCACTGGTCTTTATTAAGTATTTTTTTCCTTAGCTCCCAACAAAATTCAACAACGGTAAAGGTAAGATGATTAAATTAAACAGAATCCAAAAGTTTGAAGTAAAAAGTTCTCTTGTTTCTGCTTTGATCCAACAAAATCCACCTAAATCCACCTGATGGATACTGTTGGGTATTGTTTGATATTGGAGGATATATTTGGATTTTTTTTAGATAAAGTTTGATTTTGTTGAATGAAGTTGGATTTTGTTGGGTTTTATTGGATTTCATTGGATATTCATATGGTTGAATTTTGGTGGATATCATAGTTGGATTTGGTTGGATAAAGTTGGATTTTGATGGGTTTTGTTGGATTTTATTGGATTTCATTGGATATTCAGATAATTGGATTTGATTGGGTTTTCTTTGATTTGATTGGATTTGATTGGATTTTCAGATAGTTTGATTTTGGTGGATACAGTTGGATTTTGTTGATTTGTTGAATTTTGTTAATTTTGTTGGATTTATTTGGATTTCATTGGATTTGTTGGACTTTGCTAGATTTTGCAAGGCTATGAGGCTGAAGTCTGCCGATAGAGTTCCAACAGTAATGCACTAATATACGCACAGATATAAATCTCGGCCCTGCAAGATTGGGTGACTTTAAAGAAAGATATTCAACCTTAACATTCAATTCTCATAATTATTCAATGATATTAGCTGAATCTTTATTTTATATAAAATGTGTTACTTGTCACGTTCGTAGTCACATATCAAGTAACTGCAGCAACATCATGGGACTGTCGGTCATCGTCTGGAAATAACAGTGGTTCCCTTTGATCTGAAACAAACAAACAAACAAACAATTTGTTTTTACATTTCATTGTGCGGAAATAGAACTCTGGCTGCACATGTACAAATCTGAACCACCAGCAACAAATGTCCTGGACGTTTGGACCAATTTGTTTTAACAGTATCTGACATTATCCTTAAAAAAATTTAACCTCAAGTAAAATCTACGGTTGAAAGCAAGCTTGATTTAAAATGCAAGCAAGGTAATATGCACTGTGCAATATTTAACAACCGCTGACTGTGATGTGGGACATGGCGTTTTAACACCCAAGAAGCCAACGACACCCTAGGCCATTCACCTCAACCACAAACGCAAAAGATAAATACTTACTTGAAGATAAATATTCAAAAGCTCGGTATACTGACATAAAAACGTTACCAAGGTGTCAATTTGACAAAGGGGATGAATACAGCGCCCGTAAAAAGCAAGGTCCCTTATTCATACTGACTTGAAGTACATTGTAAAGGCCGATTCACACGGGAACCGTGCAAATAACTCACGGAACACTTGCGGCAAACTTCACCAGAGTTGAAAATGTGTGTTCAGCATTTGCGAATTAAATTTGTAAAGCGAATGTTGCTGTGATGTAACAAACTAGAACTCATATTTTACATTTGCAATGTGTATGAGCAAACCTGCAGGGTAAGGATGGGTGAAGAATGACAAATGAGGGCATGGGGCGATGTTTCCAGAACCAAAAGGTCTTTGTGGGGTGCTGTGTTCTTGGCACGGCACTTTACTATGGTTGCCTCTCTCCACCAAGGAGTATAAATGGGTTCCTGTGAAGGTAGGGACCAGATTGCGCGGATCATGAGCTGCTGCAGAGTCTCAATCCTGATGAACAAGGATAATTGTGATGCGCATTTGATCATATTCCTATGGAATTTGCGCAATATGATTGTACAAATTTATTAACTATTTTTAGGCAGAAGAATATATCTCAAAATTCTCCTAACAGTCTTCGTTCGTTCTGAATATCTTTCTTTCTGCATTCTTAAAACAAGCCGCAAATAAATTATTCCTGATTATCTCCTCAAGACTGTAAAACGTTTTGATTGAAAAGTGGCGCAGTTCACTAAATAGACCCTTTCATAAAATTGGTCACTGCTCAGTCAACCGTGAATGTAAGGACATGATCAGGGTGTCATTTTAAAGAGGAGATTCAACCCTAATAGAGGATATCTCCCTTTGATTCACATATGCCCTACTTCTGTTCCAATTAGTAATAATATCTTGTTTTTGGTTTTTTTTAATCCACCCTGTATAGCGCATAACCATAATGAACAAGTATAAATGCGGCATTCCCACGACGATAAAAGTGGCCGCCATGGTACTACAACATGGAGTAATGGTCTTTTCTTTCATGGAATTAAACTTAAAGCTATAGTCCATCATTTGTAATTGGTGCATTTTGTTCATTTGAAGCAACAAAAGTGTTCAAAATCTAATGAAGGATACTAACAACTTACTTGATGAAGTTTAAGCTCAGCTTCAGCTTTATATTCTGAGAAAAACAGCATTCTAGGATCTCAATTTCAAATCAAAAGTTGCTAAATCATGTTTCGAATTGTTTTGAATTGCAGCTTTACGCGATGTCGCGCACTGATCCGACGAATTATAGCAACCGCGCGCGCCTGTGCGTCGTTCCAATGCTTGTGCGCGCTGCGCCGAATAACAAAACGAACTATTAATTTAAATTTTCCTACGGTGCTTCTTAAGACGCACCGTTGGAAATGCCTTCTTTCGTTGATTTCTTCAAAATGAGAGCTAGCCAGAAAGGATAATTTCACAGGGAGTTTAGTCCCCTTACTATCTTTCAACCAGTATGTTTTTCAACAATAATTACGCCAGTTACTTTTTTGGATAGCTGCAAATGATGGACTCGGGCTTTAAGAAGATATTTAATTGATGTACATGCACATAACCTTCTGCTAAAGATGGAAAATCTCAAAAATAATATCCAAATTCTACCAACATTTGTTACCAAATTCTATTTCTGGTTGCAAAGCTTAGGCTGGGCCTCTACTTGTTATTTCTTCAACACCAAACTAACTAATCGACGTCCACTGCCATGACCGTAAACATTCAATTGTCACAGCCTAATAGCATGAACAGCACCATGTAGAGATAGGCAAAGCGATACAAAAGAGCCTTGTCCACAAATTCATCCCATGAGCTGATGAAGGGGGAAAAGGGACCCACAGGATGAATCTACCATGCAAAGGATAAAATGCGAAACCCAAAATTTCAATATGAGAAAAATGCTTGTAACTACTATGAAGAAAAAAAAGTTTGATACTAAGTAACATTTGCTGAGCGGCGGAATGCACAAGATTTTTTTCCTCTTGGTGTGATTTGCAGGTGACAATGCAGAAAAAAGTGTCAATGCAGAACCACGTTTAACCAGTTCGCACCGTGTATACACGCAAAGTTTTTGCGGTATTCGGAACAGATGATGGGTAAACACACAGGGAGCGAAGCCAGAAATATCTGTCAGTGACACGCTCGCAGTGAGCAAGGCCGGAAATACGAGTGTGCTGCCCAACAGTGATGGCTTCAACCCACCTGGCATTGAGGTCGATTGAAAAGTAATCACACACCTCGTTCCATTCTTGTAAAAAAATATTCCTGCATGAACTGGTTAATGAGAAGGAAATTGCACTCTCATATTACCCTTGAGACTGGTAGCCATCCACTGAGGATTCCAGTACTTTTAGTTTAAAAAAAAAAAGGGGGAAAGAAAATCAAAATAGTAAGTTGACATGTCAGTGTTAAAAAAAAACTTACCAAATTTGTCCAAATTCAGGATTTTGGGGGTTTGGGGATCATTTTTTTTGTGTACTGAAAATTGTTTCCAGCTACATCATACAGATTTCCTCCGATCGCAAAGCATTCTCTTTTCTTTCTTTTTTGGCAGATGATGGCAGATGAGGCCATCTGATTCCTGATTTGTCTTACCTTCTTTTTCGTCTTGAAAGGAGGATCCATCCAGAGGTTTGTAAGATCGAGAGGCATCCTCGCCGCAACAGGGGGACCAGGGTTTACTGAATAGGTTGATGACCTCCTCCAACGGCCGACCTTTGGTCTCCGGCAGCAGGCAGTAGAGGAACAGGACACCGGCCAGCGAGATACCGGCGTACATGAAAAATGTACCTGGGGAGAAGAAAAGCTTGATTTAATCCAAAACCTTCAAGGTCAACCAAATCTGCTCGGGCCAATCTCATGGCGCTGCTTAACAGATGGCAGAAAACTTGTGCTTATTGTGGCAGAAAATTGTGTTAAACTTATGCACTTTTCCATGGAGTGTATGTGCTAACAGTTGCACGTACATGGAGATTTGCGTGTTGTAAATCCCTGACTTAACCCCAACAATCCCCAGCCAGTCAAACTCCAACACCAGGGTTTGTTGGAATCTGTTGGAGTGAGTACGGCACTGGTAAACTGATTATGCTTTACATGGGGTCAGGCATACCACCATAATCAGAGTCCAACAGTTTGGTACAATGGTGCTTGTAGCCTACAATTATGTGTACTGTTAATAACTTGTGACACAAACTAGGGTTCGTCTTTGTAAGCTTTTTCAATCATTTGAAATTAATTAGATTTCTCCGCAATCGACCATTTGAAACTGAAAATATCGATAAAATAAGGCCGCGTTAACGTAAGTGATTTTTTTTTATCGAGTACCGCTATTCGAGTATGAGTTCTTTGTTTTATCAAGTAATGCTATTCGAGTACGAGTACTTTGATGATCGAGTACAATTTCGACATGTGCGAGTACAAGTACTTTGCTGCTCGAGTACGAGTACCATCGTATCGAGTATGAGTACTTTGACATTCGAGTACGAGTACTCCAAAAAAAGTACTCGAGTATTTACAAGTACCGAGTACGAGTATTACAACTCTGGTTGGACCCAATTTCAAGGAGCTGTTAATGTCAAGCAGAAAATATCGCTTCACGCTTTTATGTGTTGAGCGAAGCTTTGCCGAGAACCAGTAACGAGCAATATACATACCAAGGCATTTTGGCCATATATCAGCAGTGTCCCAATATTCACTGTCTTTGTTCCCAAGGATTGCTTTGTTAATCCTTCAAAATTCAGAGGTTTTTGTTTAATGTGGTTATTGGAGTCAGTATCATGAAGTGGTCTTTCCTTGCCTTCCACTTATGTGACCAAGGTTCAAATCCCCAGGGTTCCAACAAGGGCGGATCCAGAACACAATTTTGGGGGGGGCCAAAAAAAAAATTTGGTCCCCCCAAAAAGTGGGTCAAAAAAATTTCGGCCTGGGGTTCGGGGCCCATAAGGGCCCCGAAAATTTTTTGGATTCTAGATGCTCTGTGGTGCGATCTGAGGCAATTTCTGACCGCTTTAACCAATGTTTTTTGAGGAAAAGATGGTGGTGTACTCATTGCCTGCCTTTATTGCGATGTCACATAAAAAAAAAAAAAAAATTGGTTTCGTTTTTGGGGGGGGGGGGGGGCCATGGCCCCCTTTGGCCCCCCCCTGGATCCGCCCTTGGGTTCCAAGCACTTTATGAGAACTAAGTTCCCTGCGTTTTTCCCCCCGACATTTCCGGGAGAAATGTAACAAATATTCCACGAGAAATATTTCCAAAAATTGAGATTGCTGCGACGTCAAGAGGTGGTTGCAGCAAAGCAACTAAGATACTGATAATATTCATGCTGGTAACCTGTAGGTGAGCAAATAATTTCTGTGCTTAGAGACAATTGGACCGTGCTGGTTAGTACCTTGTCTGGTTATGGTCTCGGCCAGGCTCAGGAACGTCATGGATATCAGCAGGTTGAACAGCCAGTTGGTGGTTGAGGATAGGGCGTTGCCAGTACTGCGGGCCCACTGTGGGTAGATCTCAGAGTTGATTGTCCAAGGCATAGGGCCCATACCTGACCAAAAAAAGAAGAAAGAAAACCCAATTTATATAAACCACAGAGTAAAACTGGGATCACTTTTCGTCCATAGATTCTTTGCATTCAGCGGTTTTCAGGTGTTTTTGTTGAGGATGTGATGTTTACATGCTTAAACAAATTCTAAATCCGTTTATGAATTCTCAAAAACAAATCAAATTATATATTACCTACATTAACGCCATCTTCCTTTGAGCTAAACATGCATAGCACAAATAATTAACAATGTTTTCAACCTTAATTTACAAAACCTTAGAAGCACCGCGGTGCTTGATTACATTCAGGGTACAGGTATAATTAAGTTTTTAATGACTGCTTAATAGTCAATCATTGTTGATTTATCATGTCAATCACAATCGTCAGCAGACATAATGGGCAGGCATCAGCTTTTGTGAAATGGCTTAATGTTTAAAAGTTTAAATAAGGGAATAAATTTGTGATCGGTCGGTATTATAACACTCTGTTTAAGACCAGTTGGAGTCTGGATGGGTGATCACCCATCCAGACTCCAACCAGTCTTAAAGAGAGTGTTTAATACCGACCGAACACATATTTGTTTCCACTTATAAATACCTTCCAGTCAAAAAAAATAATCGTTTCCGTCCAAAAATCAAAACAAGTCAAAAACTAGACATTGCTAACCATTTTGTTCAACAGTTTTACTTCATGTCGTATCAAACAGCCCTCTGACTATAATATAAACTGTCCCTCTACAATTCCTTACCTTATAAGGACATTGGTGTGCGCGTCACGCGTACTACGCGATGTCGCGCAAAACGCAGCTGGGCGGGTGTAGTGTGAATTTCGGAATTTGAAATACTGATTCACTGGAAGTACGTGAGGAATGTGAAGTTCAACCAATGAAACGTTGCAAGGCACCGGAATTCATGGGAGTCCAAATTTCATGTGACTGGAAATGTGTTTAAGACCAGCCAGCCATGTCTTTAACATCCATTTAAGACCAGCCACGTGACGGCCTCTCGACCAATAGGAATGGGTAAACTGTCTTAGGTATTTATGAATGATTCTTAAAGTACATCTATTTGCAAAACATTTACAAAATTAAACGCCAAGTCACATTCTTAGTTTTTGTTTTAATTTAAATTCAGTAACAATGAATGCACAAGACTGTTTTATCTGGTACTAAAAAGCACCAAAACCCCGCAAAACAATAAACAGGAATCACTGAAACAAACCTGGAGCAAAGAACATCAGATAAACAATGAGTCCAACGAGTGCCATGATGCCGAATTTTGTCGGGCAGTATTCCTCCGACCAATCCAGCTCACCACTGCCGTCGACAAACCCCTCTGCTGCTGAACACCGGCCGACATTGGAGTATCCCGTACTGGACTCATTAATGGGGAGACAAGATCCGTTCACAACAGATCCTGTCCTGTTCACGTCGAAGCAAAAACCGCATTCCTCCTGCAGAATGCATCGTTCACAATTGCTGGGATGGTGAAGGAGAATACAAACATCATTCACTCTTGGTAAACTGGCTCAGTTAGAATTTGAAATATCTTTAACTCTTTCAGTGCCCGCGAAGTTTGAAAAGTTTAACCCTAAAGTGCCCAACTCCGAGCGTTTTTTGTAATTGTTCAAAATTCTGTAAAAAAAAAGTAAATAAGTTTTGCTCACTAAATTTGTTGTGTTTGCTCTCTGGTATATCCTTGGTATATTGGAAAGTCAATAGTAGTCACATACATAGTGATACACCCTGAAACACTATCCTGCACACAGGGGAATTCCGCACTTTTTGCAGAAAATACGAGTGTCAGTGCTGCGCCCTCTCACGAGAACTCGAATAAAAAAATAAATACAGGTCGCACATGCATGAAAATGGTACCATTAGAAAGAGCGAGAGCGCCCCCTTTTGATAACATGTTTACTCTACCTCGTACATGTACGAGGTTTGGTGATTTTAATCACGAACATTACCTCGTATATGTACGAGGTTGGCGCTTTTGTACTAACAAATATACCTCATACATGTACGAGTTTGGCACTGAAAGAGTTAAGAAAAGAGAGTGGCTAGAATTAGTTTTGTACATGGCATGTAAATAACAAAAATATCAACATCAGTATGAACTGACAGGCTAATAGGAGAAAAACAAAAAGGGAGATCACTGCTGCTCAGCATGACATACATCTAGATGTATAAAATTTCCAGTGATAAATAAAACCAAAGCTAATGGCACCATAAAACCCGTTTCAAACGAGTGTAAAAGTGTCTCCATAAAATTTGAATTTAGCACAAGAAAATTTAACGTCTGACACAGTTGGGAGCGGCCACATTAAAATATCAACTATTTGAGTCGTTTGAAATGATGATAAAATTCAATGTTGTGTTTTTTTGCCCTTTACTGACGTATTTCTAAACACTGTATACTCAGTGTTGTCCCGAGTGATTGTGAGAAAAATTCCCTCCGGTGCGGTGGGACTCGAACCCACGACCTCCTGTTTGCTAGTGCAGACATCTTACCACTCGATCACCGAGCTTGCCGGGGTCAGCTGGCTGGTTCGAATCAGACATAGCAGCAGGTACTGCACCCGACTATTCAATAACCCAATACTGAATTGACATCCCCCGATGCAAATCCCATCTAATGAATAGCATGATGATAGAATCTATGCAATGGAAAATCAATGCATTAACCCTCGGAGTTGAGTGACAAAAAAATCACACCGTGAAACCACATGGAGAATTTTATCACCACACTGTTTCTAGGTCAATAACCCCCTCATGCACAAGATATAGGCAGGTCACATGGCCTTTGTGTGGGCCAGGATTGTTTACGACCTGTCTGAGCTCTGGCCGGCACGAGGGGTTGACACAGAGAGATCGGCAACACAAAGGGGTTGGCCACTAAGATCTCCAATTACTGCACAAAGGCATTAGGCGCCTCTTGGGGCTGCTGTCTTTCAACACTCCTTACTCTGCAGTGGTAAGGGTCTGGCCAATGGGAGTCTACAGGCTTGTGGTGTATTTCAGGGGTGAGGATTACATGGAATCTTGGCCTTATTGGCCCATTGAAAAAAAAGTTATGACCATATTTGGAAAATGTGGAGAATTTTATCACCACGTGGCCACACCGAGGGTTAAGTATGCTTGTCTGAAGCCCAATTTTACTTAGGTTGATCTGAGTTGTCCCTAATACAATTTGGTTTTGGCACGACTCTAGAGCACCAGCCTCAGTGCAATAGGCATCAGGTATGCCTACTGGCCAGTGCTATGACATTCAGTATACAAATATTGAGTGGCTCAGAGTGAAAATGGGAGGAATATTATTGTGAGGTAAAATCTGGACTTTACATTTCACGAGGCTAAGCCGAGTGAACTGTAAAAGTCCAGATTTTACCAAGCGATAATATTCCTCCCATTTCACAATTTAAAGCCACTCAATATTTATTTTTATATAACTGACATATAGATCTTTGTCATTAGATATATTTGAACTTTTCGTTCAATACAAAATTGGTGGAAATGTATTTCTCTCTTCCAAACCACCCCTTCACGAAAATGTTTGAACCCAACTCTGTTGCGCTGGCTCCTTGGAACAATACGCGCTACGCGCAATGCTGAACGCGCACACCAGCATGCATTTGCACAAAAATAACGTGCCATGGAACAAGAATGATCCTAACTGTTCAATAGTATTTCCCATTACCCATGGGCGAATGGGACTTTTGAGCCCCGGCGTGAATGTGAGCAATAACGAATGTCACGTGATGTGAGTCCCACCAATCAAATGACAAGGATCTGTATGTCAGTTATATAAATGTTTATCTGGTACTGACCTGTAAGTGCCACACTGTCCAGCCTGAGGGTTGTGGACGGTGACGGGTGGAGCGTTGATGGCCATCAGTAGGAACCCGATACCTAGAAACATGTGGCTGAAAGTCACACCTGTGGGTAAATGGAAAAACTTTGAACTGAAATCAATCCATTCTAGTTCTGTGATGCTCAGCAGTTTGAAACTATCCAAGCATTTAATTCTAGCTTAAGAAGAATTTATTAAAGGCGCACTGTGAGTACGTGCATGCAGCATGCACAAGAGTGTTATGCCCCCTCAAGAGTTGGACCTGTGCTTGAAATTCGGGCGATTCACAATGTAGTGCGCCACCAAGAGTTTGCCATGAAAAGTTTATTTTTCCCAGTGCATTGTGGGAAATGGTCGACAAATTCGCAGCGCGAGACATTTGATATTGTTAGTTTTTTTTCCGGTCAGTAGTTTCATAAAGTATGATTCGAGTATCTGTTTACCCTTTTGTTTTCTTTTTATCAATATTGTGTTTTTTGTAAGGCGGCAGAACGCTATTGCCAAATCTATAACAAATTAGCTCAAGTTGCCTACCGACACTCATTCAAATTGTACATATTTTGTTGACCGTAAACTTGAAAAATAGACTCTCCATGGCAAACTCTTGGTGGCACACTGCATTGTGAATCGCCTGAATTACAGAAGTGGTTGTACATTTTCCTCTACAGTATATCACTAAAAGGCTGACACCAAAGGGTAAACAGCTGTCAACAAACCTGAAAGACTTCCCAGTGTTAGAATCCTTCGCCCAAGTCTATCCACTAAGTAAACGCCGACGAAGGTGAAGAGGAAATTGACGAAACCAACGACGGCGGCCAGCCAGATGACGGTGGAGTTGTCCTTGACCCCTGACATACGAATAATTGTTGCACTGTAGTACCTGTAATAATGAAAAGAGTCGAAAGGTAAATATATGTAAATCAGGCTCATGAATATTCATCACAAGGGGGAAAATATTGACACTTAAAGGGAAAATACAACATTTGCAAACATCAAAAAATAAAACTACCAAATCATTTTGAAATACCTTGCTGGACTGTTAGTGAATGAGAGTGTAAAGCATCCTGTAAAATCATGGCACCTGGTATACTGTCATTTTCAAGAAAAGTGGTATTTTTGTATCAATTTCCAACGCTGGTCAGCCGACCAGCGTTGGAAAAAAACTGGCTTTTTTTCAAATACTGGCCCCAATTGACCATCGCACTTGTTTGCAATCGATTACACACCTATGAACGGGTACAAGCCAGCTAGACTGGTTCCCTGACCTTACAATTCCCCAATGTATGTAAACTGCTCTGTTTCTTCTTATATGGAGTCAGGGAACCAGACTACAGGAAAATGATTGTTTTTCTAGGTTTTTATAGCATTTTCGAACCCAAAACCTCAAAAAAGTCAGTGTAACTATATCTGCTATATATTTTCAACCACCCAATTCCATCCATTTCTGAAAATTACAGCAAAAGCAAATGATGTATATTCCCTTTAACATGTATGTATGAGTGGACCACTCAAAAAATGTTCCATTTTTATTGTTAATGCATGTACTGATTTGTGCACTTAATAGTCTTGCCATGCAATATGCATGACAAAACTGAGTGCATATTGCGCAAACAAAAAAATCCGCCGATTATTTACGTGCAAGGATTTATTTTTTGCGACTAACTTTGCGTTGGCATTTTCATTCCTCAGAGCCGAGTAAGCATGAAGCCAATTCTGATTTGAACCCAATTCCTCCCAAAAATGAGTCAAAATCATCCACAAAAGTTTTGGAGAACTTTGTAGGATTGAGGAAGGTAGAGCCCAGCCTCTATTTGTATTAGTTTACATGGGGTTTGATGCCTTGTGAAAGTAGAAGTATTGAGAGTTATTATGCTCAAAGCAAAACAGAGAGAGCCAGAGCAAATCCCAGAACTGTTCAACGAAGGTGGTGTGACTTACATGACTGTGTTGATACCAGCTAGCTGCTGGAACATCTGCAGGCTGCAACCCACGATGACAGCCTTGAGTACTGGTGGTGTCTGGAGAATACGCAGGATCACCCAATTACTCCCTGGAACAAATGAACCACAGCGAAAAATAAACATCACATTCAAAATATTTCATATTATAAATTTAGCAAAAGTTAATTAAGAGGTTTATCCTGGCTGTGTTGCTTCATCAAAATGGTTTACTATGACATAGCCTTTCAGTCTTACACCAATGTAATCTTTTGTATACCTAACTTTCACTGTTTTATATCAGAAACCGTTTGACATCCAAACCTTAAAACTGTCTTCTCGCCTAAACTTTTCAATACATTATACCTCCTAATCCTTCCATTCCGGCCTCCACCTACTGGTAACCTTTTTGCTGCCCTATACCCCCTTTCATTGTCTTGTAACAGCCCGACCTTTCCATGCCTTATACCTGCCAAACCTTTCACTGCAAAGAAGCCTGCCTAGTTGTTCACTGCCTTATACTTGCCTGACCTTCACTGCCTTACTCCCCTTAATTTTCTTTACCTGCTGGGCAGGTGTGGTCTAATGGGAGAGCACAGGATTCATGATCGTGAGATTGTGGGTTCGAGCCCCGCTGTGGCCATGCGTGTTGTGCCCTTGAGTAAGGCGCTTTACCTCAATTACTCCTCTCAATCCAGGTGTTAAATGGGTACCGGCATTATTCAATGCTGGGAAGGTAACAGACTCGCTGTGGTGTGGCGATCCCCCCACGGCAGCATTCCATGGACTTGAGTCTGGCCCGATCGCTACCAAAGAGAGATGGGCACTCCGTTCCTGTGAACACAGGTTCGTCCCCTTACCTTTTCATTACCTTATACCTGCCTAACCTGAACTTATAATTGCCTGATCCCCACCGAACCTTTCACTGCCTTCCCGCCTGACCTTACCATTGCCTGATGCCCACCTACTCTCTTGCTGTCCTGTATCTGCCTAACCTTTAACTTCTTATACTAGCCTAAGCCTAATCTACCTAAAGCCCGCCTAACCATTCAGTGCCATATAGTTTTGCCCACCTAACCTATCACTGCCTCCATCATTGCCCGATACCCAACAAGCCTTAATTTCGCTGCCTTATATCTGCCTAACCTTTAACTTCTGTAAAAATTGGGTTGTGTATATACTCAGTGTTGCCCCAAGTGATTGAGACAAAAATCACTCGGTTGGGACTCGAACCCACAACCCCCTGCTTACTAGTGCAGACGTCCCACCACACGACCACAGAGCCCGCCGGGGTTGGCTGGCTGGTTCGAATCTGATATAGCAGCGGTTACCACAACCAAAACTATTCATAAGCTGGAATTTGCGTCGGGGTGATGCAAATTCAATATAGGGTTTTGCCCTTCACCGACGTATTATTATAAACACTGTATACTTAGGCTAGGACCATATTAAATTACTAGAGCGCTAACTCCTCATTCTTGCGCGCAGAGACGCTTTGAAGCCGCTCGGGCGCAGACATTTTGAACTTATGTGCGTGTTTGTAGAACACAGTCAAAATAGATGGATTGAATTTTAAAAGTGTACTCTAAATGCAACATGCAAATAGAAGATACGCAAACAACTTAAGTGCGCCATGACGGTTCAAAAAACATCACGGCGAAAAGCATCTGCAGCAGAGGGACGCGCACACCTTGCGCTGTTTGCGTAGAGCAAAATGAAACGCTCATTCGCTGATCGTGCGTTTCGGTTTTGGGCGTATCGGCTTCGATGACGCACCGGTATGGAATACAAACGCAGATATGCAAATAGCCGTATAAATGCCGTACAAAAGTTTTCCATAGGTTTGTGCACAAACATGGATGCGCCCATCAGGCATTACTTTGTACATCGAGTTAGCGCTCTAGTAATTTAATATAGCCCTATGGTTAGGACCTAACCCTAGCCTGCCTAATCCCCCTCACCTTTCATCGCCTGTTGTTCCTCCCGTTGTTCCAAGACACTCTTGCTAATTTTCTCTAACTGGCTGCCGACCTCCGGGCTGCCCTTCCCGTAAATCAAGGTCAGAACCTTCTTAGCCTTCTGCGGACGATCGTGGAGGATGAGCCAACGGGGGCTCTCTGGTAGGAAGATGAAGCCTATCAATTGAATGGCCGATGGCACAGCTCCCAAACCTAGCATTAGCCTGGTGATGGAGAAAAAAAGAAAAAGACGTGAAGCTGTAAGGGACCTTAACTTGAAAAGGACTTTTGCCCCGACATGGGTCAAATTTCATTGTGAAGTGAAAGGCATATACTGGTAGGATCATTTGCCGTTTCCAGTAATAACACCACTCAAAATCCTAAGAAGAATATTCAAAACCTAACCTGTTGAAGTTTCAGCTCAGTGGATATTACACTTTCCGAGAAAACAGTGCAAACCATGCACAACCTTTTGATCATGAAATACGATTTCGTCCGGTTTTTTTTCTCTAAAAAAATCAGTACATTGACTGATCGCTGGAAATCACCTGCATTTCTTGATTTCTTCTGAATGACAGCAAGCCAGATGGAATAGTTTCACAGAGTGTTGAGTACCAGTATAATCTTAAATCCAAGTAAGCGTTTTGATAATAATTTGGTGGGTTACTTTAGGGATAAATGCAAACGATCCTTTATGCCTGTAAGGATAGTTCATGCGTCACGCAAGTGTGAGTGCCACATTATGAAGTGAATCAGAAGTCAAGAAACATGCTGGCAAATTTGCCAAACTTGAATTGTGTTCAACTGGTGTGAATACTGCCTCAACTTCATGAGTCTGTGTTGGCATTCACATTGATTCCCAACAGAGCATGAATTCGCCCTTCATAAATTTGCTTTTTTACCACTAAGTTTAGATTTATGCAGGAGTCTACAACCAGTACTTAAAAAGCACACCCCAATTTCGGGGGCACTAACCTCCATCCCCAGGGCCAATAAGACAGGCTTCCATCAATGACCGACGCTACAAACTGTCCCCCGGTAATGAACAGATTATTGATAGTGACTAGACGACCCCTTAAATGAGCAGGGGCTGCTTCAGCAATGTACATGGGTACTGTCATAGAGGCTAGACCTGTCAAAGAAAAAGAAAAAAGAAACGCAAACATATATTGACCTCTAGGTCGATATACCTTAAAAACAGTTGGTCTTTATACTTGGCACATTTTGAGCAAACATCTGGGTCCAATTCTGGCAACTTTTGGTGCTGAAATAACTGTAACATTGGGATTTCTGCCTGAAATAGCATCACGTTTGCTCACGATGATGGAAATTCGCATTAGCATAAAAACCAAAAAGGCACTAGAATACCCTTGAAAATGGCAAAATGAAAATTGAAAATAAGGTTAAATGGGCACAAAGGTGCATTTGCAAGGATTGCACTAAAAACAAATTACATTGCATGTGCCCATTAACTCTAACTTCTCTATTCAAATCCAGGTTTAATAGGTACCGCCAACTTTAAATTGGGCTAAAAGCCTTTTTTTTTTAAAGAGTTGCTTGAACAGTGGAGGACTTTGGAGGATCCAGGAAGGCTCCCGGCAAACAGTTATAAGGAGTTAGGGTTAATCTTGCAAAATCCTGCTAAAAAGTCCTCTTGGATTTGATAGATCTAGAAAGATGAGTGTTAACACTATTGACTGTCTTTCTGATCACTTTTTGTTGTACCCGTTTGTTTCATTCCATTGTTTCTTCAAGAACAAAAGTCAATGGCTGTCAAAATGCACTTGGGTCTATCAGGGACCCTAACTTTACCCTTTGACATGACCTAGCCTTACCTACACCCAGACCCACGATGATCCGGCCGACCAGTAGGATTTCTTTGCTCTGTGATATACTCATGACTACAGCCCCCGTCGTGAAGATAGCGCTGGCCAGGAGAATCACTGGTTTCCTTCCGAAGACATCGTTCAGTTTGCCGCCAAAGAGCGCAGCAACGGCTGCTGCTGCGATAGTAACACTGACCTAAAAAGAGCGAATATGAGACAACTGACTTTATACAAAAACTGGGAATTTTTGTGTGCGAAATTACCCCTAACTGCCACTGTGCTGAATGTACCTACAACGGAATCCTAAATCAAGCAGGTTTCTGGTGCATGGGCGTCATGAGTGGGGGAGGGGGCGAGGGGTCTTTGCCCCCTCCCCCCCCCCCCCTCCTGAAAAAGCACCAAAAAAAAAAAAAAAAAAAGAGGGAAAAAAAGAAAGAGGCGCAAAGTCACATTGCAGTAAATTTAATGGTTTGGGGGAGGGGGGCAAATGTCCCTGCCCACCCTAGAAAAATGACAAATCGAGAATATGCTGGAAAAGTACAGGGATTTCGGGGGACTCGTGCTTAGCCCCCCTCTGGAAAAAATCCTGACGTCGCCCATGTTGGGGTGAGTATTAGTTGACTAGTGGTCGATTCATGATGTAAGTAATGCCTGCGCACTAATAGCAACGTGCCAATAAATGCCTCTATTCAAACAATGGCCGTTATTACATTTTGTTAAAGCATGGTTTAGGTTTCACGAAATTTGGTAGTTTAAAGAGACTTAATAAAAAGAATTCATCTGTGATTTCTTTTTGAAATTTAGAGAAAAGTGACCACAATGTGACATTAAGATGGTCACATTTGAGGAAACACCATGTACATGTAAGTACTCTGAAAAAATACAGAGAATGTTTCTGAAGAGAACCAGTGGCATAAACTCAAGATTTCGGTCAGCAAATAATTCCCATTTTTTGGGCGTCCTCCACCATGTGAGGCCTCAACTAGTTGTGTCTTGATGTTGTTTTTGCGCCTATGTATTACTGGAAACCAGCTATGAAATCACATACATAAAATGCAGTGGGCCGGTTCCTAATAGCATTATAGACTAGTCCATTATATGACTGTGCCAACTAATGCGCATCGGATTAAAGTTGATCCAACTATTGTTAACCATCCATCCATACAATGTAGCTCTTGATTGAAATTGCTGATTTAATTGTTTGATGATGAACAAGTTCCTATAGGCCTACTATCACAACTTGATTGCTAGTGAGTGATTGCTTTGAGTTGAGTTCTTTAATCGACTGTCGTAAGTCTTTCAATAATTAACCAGAACAAACTATTTGTCTGGCATGAACAGCTGTTGTCATTTCAAATCAATATTGGCTATTTTGATATGACAAAATGTAAACACAGTCACTTTATGCCTAACCAATTACATACATCATATGGTAATGAACTGATCAGTTTGTGATAATTAGTGATAACACCACTGCACTTCAATTCGTTTTTTTGGTTTGTTCTTGTGACTCCCCTGAATGCTGAAAGGGATGTGATTGCATGATTCTGCCAAAAAAAAAGTCTCCGGTTTCTGGTATGCGCGCGCGTCGCCGTAGCCATGCGCGTCGGCAAAATGAAAAAGTTTTTTTTTCAATGAAAGATGGCGTCTCAAAACTGCCAAACTCACTGGTTTGACTGGAATCCTATTGCTGCACAATTTAACGTGTTTTTAGATGGGGTTACGATCGAGAATAAGCTTCATGTGGCCTCTCTGGACTCCCATATATTTGCACTAAGTTTAGTCGGGCACCATTTGCAGTCATCACCGGACATTTGAAGAAGAAAAAAATGGTAAAAAAAAATAAATAAAAGCCGCGTCACCGCACCACTTTTTGGGCATGCTCCATACCAGAAACCGGAGACTTTTTTTTGGGCCTTATCAGGGTATTTGATTTTTAAGAGTTCAGATCTATTTCACTCATTCTAAAATTCTCAACAATGAAAAAAACACATGAAATTGAAAAGGTGCTGTATGGGGTTGATGAGGACATGCACAATTTTATGCAGCATGAACAACCTCCTGTGTACATGTATTACACTGTACATGTTCATACAGCTGGTTAAAAATATGTTACTTTTTTTAAAAGAAAAGATTCATCTATCGACTCGGTGCAATAGTAACTTTTATATAACACCCAAGTAAATCCTTGTCTTTTGATTGGAGGATTGTAGGTCACGCGGCATTCATTAATCAAACCATTGCACGGCCTACGTCATAACCTGCGCCCCAACAGAAGATGTCCGTGCCTCCCCACCCCCCTTAGCCCCCATTTAACAAATTTGAAATTGAAAAAAGATTATATTGTACTGTTGAAATGATACGTTTCATTTGCCTTTAGTGCCCCCTTGAAAAATGTATGCATCCCCGGGTTCCCTAGTTACACCACTGCAGGAGGAACCCAAACACTGCCCTACGTCTGGCAGTTACATGAAGACAATGATGGTTTTGTGCAAATTTAGTAAGAATGTAAGTTATTGTGGGTGCTAGACGCCAGACACACGGACCAATACCCACATATGCAATGCGTCTCTGTAAGTGGTAATAAAGCTCAATTTTATTCATTTGCATAGTTCATAAATATTTTGGATCAACATTCTGGCCAAATATCTAGGCTTTATCTACTCTTAGATGGCAATCTCTAAGTGAAAGACGAGATTTTTACTTAACTACTCTAGTATATAAGAGTTTAACATCCAAATTGCCTCCTCAACTTTGTAACTGTTTTTATTTTGTTTCTACCATAGTACCCACTCATACAATACCGGGTCTGTTTCTCAAGGTAATCTAGTTTCTTCGTTATCCAAATCTAACTCAGGAAAACGTAAATTTTCGTCTCGTGGAGTTAATTCTTTCAACAACCTCCCTGCGACACTTAAACATCCGTTGCCTCCCACTCTTGCCAGTTTTAAGCGCCTCTACACGAACCTGATAGTTTGATATTATATGGTACATGTATGTCTTGTTTTTGTCTTTTTACTGCCAATGTAACAACCGTGATTAACCTTGTCTCATTTTACTGTTTATTAATCTTCTTAATTATATCTTTGTAATGTTTGTATTGCTTGTTTTTCTATTTTATATACTATCCTATGCTTGTTGTAACTGCACCTTTGAAAAACAGTGTTCCACTGAAAAGTCTTCCCAGGATAAACAAGAAATAAATAAATAAATGAAATACCAAAAGACAGAAGAGAGGTTATACTTGCCACTAGTTCCTGCCAAAGTGTGTTCAGATTGAACTCTTGCCTCAGGAGGATCATAGCGCCCGACACCACGCCCGTGTCGTATCCGAAGAGAAAGCCCCCGAGGGCCGCAAAGGCAACTAGCACCTTGGTGAAGCCGGTGATGGGGGGCGGGGACGAGGGGCGGACCAGCGCCCTCTTTGACGAGTCACCGTTCATGCTGGCATCGGGGTTGTCGTTACCATCGGCCGTGTCGTCACTGCCCGGCTTGGCATCGGTCAGCATACTGGTCATCTCAAGCATTGGTTAGCTGTGCTATCATTTCTCATTGCTGATTCTGCATCCCTGGTGAGCTGTGTCGACTAGATGATGTAGAGAACACAATACAAATTCTTAGTGCGTTTTTTGTTGTTGATGTTTTACTACAAAAGCATTGGTCATGGACATGTGGTTACTACTTGCAGTTTCTGCTACTAGTGGCAGACAATAAATGTCCTGCAGACGGTCAGAGCATACTGACCGGAACGTCGAGTTTATACCTCTGGTTCTTTTCAGAACCATTCTCTTAGTTGAGAAATTATTCGCACATGGTGTTTCCGCAAACTTTTCATTATTTAGTATCTCCACCATGCAAAGCCTCAAATCTTACTTAAATGTCAAGTTAATTCAGAAAAAAAGGAAGTCAAAAAATCAACTACCTGTATTTAATTGCAGCGTTAGGCCAAATAAAAAAACATGTTTAGCGTCCTACCTTTTTTAAAAAGGGAAGGAGGCGGCCCTTCCTTTTTTTCTTCTTTTTTTTTTAAATGACCACCACTTGGACTCAGGAAATGACATACCAGCTTTACAAACATGTATATGGGCTAGATGCAAAAGACAAAGAGGCCAAAATGATGTCACTGTTTAACATTTATCATTTTTGAGTGGTCGGGCACAACCCGACCACTCTTTGGATTTGTTGCGATTAATCTTTCTTTCTTTTCTTTTTTCCGGACAATACTTCTCCGCGGGTTTTCTCTTAAATGGTATATGGTATGAACTTGTAACTTTCAATATATACCGACCCTCATCCGAAGTGGTGCATATTACTCTGACGTCATGATTATGTCATCAGGTGTCAAATTACAAGTGATTTTAACTGAAAAAGTGACCAAATACTTTCACTTATAACTCTTGAACAAAACATTCAATGATGTTTGTATTCTGTAATCAGATAGACCATTAATCGCTTCACATTTTTTGCCTTGTACGTGAACTCGCTTGACCTTTACTTCCGGGTCTACTGGAAGGTCAAAGTTAAATGAATTCAAAATGAAGACGTTAGCCTGAAATCAAAATAAAGCAACATTTCTTCCGAACGGTTCACGGTATGATCACAAAACCTTGTGTGAACTTCTACCTTGTTACGAAGATGTTATAATTTTTGTTACGCCATCATGACGTCATCAGGTATCAAATTACAAGCGATTTAAGGGCAAATTTTGACAAAATAGTTTGAGTATATCTTTTGAACTAAATAGAGTATCGTGTTCGTTTTTAGTGAGGTTGTAGACTATGCCGTGAGGAACATTTCTTGTCCCAGACACAAAACCGCTTGACCTTTACTTCCGGTGTTACCGGAAGTGCAGTAAAAACTGAATATACATGTAGCTCAAAAGCGGAAGCATTTTACTACAGACACATATATTATAAAAGTGTTTAGTGAGGAATGCTAGACACAAAAACAGTGTGATGACGTTATCATCCGGAAGTCAAAGTCGTTTGACCTTTCCTTCCGGGGCTGCCGGAAGGTCAAAGTTAGGTGAATTCAAAATATAGAAATTAGCCTCAAATAAAAGGAAAACAAGATTTCTTTCCATAACCGATTGAAATCGCGCCTCACCAGTTTTCCTCTCATACACTGTATCTGAATGCTGAAAATTAATATTTCCACAGCGTGTAGCCACAAACTTTTCTGTCGTATGCAAAAGAAAAAAAAACAAGAAAGCCATTTTTTGATATGATTAGCATATGTTGCATAAACTCCAACGACGTTAGAGGCTCCGGCAAGTCTACCAATAGTCCCAACTGGTTGTATGCTTGAGTAGCCATCCATGCAGCACCATATGTGCGCTTCCTGATAGGCCTACAAGTCTTGTCGAGGTAGCAACAAGTTCAACTGCAGGTTGTGTGATTTTCTATGTGAAAAACACAGGGTAATGGATGCAGGGTAATGGGAGGGGTATTGTGCAGTTCAATTATGATTAAGTCACTGTAAACACAAGAAAATATGCCAGCCCGACCACTCTGCGTTTGTAACTCAACAAACGCGAACCTCTAATTGGTTTTTTTTTTCATTTCAATTAAAAAAGAAAAGAAAACAGGAGGCAGCCTCCAAAAACGAAGCGGGCGGGGAAGCTAAACATGTTTTTTTTTTTTATTTGGCCTTAGTGAACGTGTACATGGACAAGTACTTCCAACAAATTCCATTACATCTGCAAACACTATGTAGTCTGGCCTTATGGCAATTATCGCATGCCATGAAATATGCATGCAAACTATCTGAAATGATATTCATAAAGCTCCCAAGGTCAGTAGAATACTGGGTAGGTGTGGGTAGGTGTTTTTATGAACAAATATTTTAAGAAATTTTGCAATCTATAGATACAACCCCTATGTAAATATATATTGTACCGGTATTTACATTAAGATATTTAAAATTTGATTTTCCTAATTGTATGATCATAATTTATCGCATGGTACTTATTCCAGCTTTTGTTTGACCTGTGTTGTGGCATTTTACATTAAAGGTATAGTCCATCATTTGTAATTTGTGCATTTTGTTCGTTTGAAGCAACAAAAGTGCTCAAAATCTAAAGAAGGGTGCTGAACAACTAACCTGATGAAGTTTCAGCTCAGCTTCAGCTGCATATTTCGAGAAAAACAACATTCTAGGATCTCAATTTCAAATCAAAAGTTGTGGAATCATGTTTTGAATTGGGCCTGAATTCAGCATCCGAGACAGCTTTTTGCTAGCCAATTGCAGCTACGCGATGTCCCGCACCGATCCGACGAATTACAGCAGATCTGCGCGCACGTGTGTCGTGCTTCGCCGAATAAAAAAACGAACTACTAACGAAAATGTCCAACGGTGATTCTTAAGACGCACCGTTGGAAAGGCCTTCTTTCGTTGAGTTCTTCAAAATGACAGCTTGCCAGAGAGAATAATTTCACAGGGAGTTTAGTCCCCTTACTAAGGGAGTGTGTGGCCTAGTGGTTAGGGTTCGTGACTCATGATCAGAGGGTCCGGGCTTCAAATCCAGCCGCTGGTCATATATTGTGTCCTTGGGCAAGGCACTTCACCCCCACTTGCCCCTCTCCACCCAGGAGTATAAATGGGTACCGGCATTAGCTGGGGAGTAACCTGCGATGGACTAGCATCCCATCCAGGGGAAGTAGAAATATTCTCAGTCGTTTCATGCTACTGAAACCGGAGATAAACGCCGGCCTGATGAGCCACATTGGCTCGGGACAGACTTTACTTTTTACTTTAGTCCCCTTACTATCTTTCAACCAAGTATGTTTTTCAACAATAATAACGCCAGCTACTTTTTGGATAGCTGCAAATGATGGACTCTGGCTTTAACAAAAATATCATTTTATGATTTCACAAGATCTGTTTAGTGTTGGGGTGTGAATTGGAACCGGGTACCCATTTGTACCAAGTACCTGACCGCTGATGTCATGAACCCCTTCCAGATGGGATTGGGTGCCTGTGACCAATTTTGCAAATTACTTACATCATAAGTATAACTTCTCACACATAAAAAAAGAAAGGTTTGCAATGCCATTTGTGGCAGATTTTCAAAATGAAAACCAGGCTACACATGGAAAAACCAAAACATATTTTGGGTTTGGGTTTCTTTTACGGGTACCCATGTTTTACTTCAGTAGGGTATGGGTCCGGTTCCTGTTAAAGGGAATGTACATCATTGGCTTATGCTTTAATTTTCAGAAATGAACTATTTGAGGGGTTAGTATAATAGATCAAATTATTGTTACACTGACATGTTTGAAGTTTTGTTTTTGAAAATGCTGGAAAAACCAAGAAAAACACAAATGTTCAAGTAGTCTGGTTCCCTGACTCCACTGAAGATGAAATGGATCAATTTACAGATGCCGGAAAATTGTACGCTAAGGGAACCAGTCTAGCTGACCTGCACCCATTCATGAACATAAAACCAATTAGCAAACAAAATTGGACTGAAAAAAATGGTAAATTGGGAGCAGTAGTGAAAAATAGTTAGGTTTTTCCTACGGTGTTCGGCCGACCACCGTTGGAAATGTAAACAAAAATATAATTTTCTTGAAAATGACTTCACACCAGGTGCCATAATTTTACAGGATGCTTTAGACTGTCATTTACCAACATCCTGTAAGGTATTTCGTAAAAACTTGGTCATTTTATTTTTCGATGTTTGCAAATGTTGTTTTTCTCTTTAAACCGTAAATGCACTAGTAACAATACAATCTTTAAACAAGTACAGGTGAGCTTTTGATAATAATTTGGTAGGCTACTTTGGGATGAATGCAAATTATGCAAATGATCCTATTAATTATCCCTATGCCTTTATTAAGATACACGCTTCAATGACACATGTACACCATACATACATGTACATACATTTAAAACAGCTGTGTTAATAACTGAAGCGTCACTTACAACCATATTTCATCCATTTGACACTTTTTTTATGATAAAACCTTATGATCATTTACTCGACTATCAATCCCTGCCCACATGTTTGCATTGCTTGCTGCAAGCTGAATGGAATATTTTTTTCCCTTCCCGTACAAATGTTTTGTCTGAGCACTGCAACATAATTCCATTATTGCATTTGTATTATCCATACAATTTATGTGATCCCTTAAATGAACAGTTTACACTCAACGATCTCATTAAAATAACGTACGGTAATTCAATGGACTGACTCTGTAAGTACTTGCTGCTTCTTTTTTCATAGCCATTGTCAAGGGGTTTTGTGAGTGAAGTTTATTATTAGGCGAAGTAAAAAAAAAAAACATGTTTAGCGTCCCCGCCCGCTTCCTTTTTAGAGGCCGCCTCCTTTTTTTTTTTTTTTTTTTTTTTAAAAGACAAAAATTGATAAATTTTAACGATCTCTGACGAAAGAAATCGTATTTTTAGACTTTTATACCGTGTATAAAGCTGTGGAAATAGTCTCATTTTCTGTTGCATCTTGCCCATAAGAAGCCAATATGTCATTTCCTGAGTCCAAGTGGCGGCCATTTTGAAAAAAGCTGATAACCATCTTGAAAAATAGCCCGGCTGCGTTGTCTTGAAAAATGTGTTGGGCGGCCATTT